CACACTGCCACATCCAGCTAATTTTATATATATATAAATATTAAATAAATAAATATATATTTGTTAAATTCAAATATTTTTTTGTTTTGTTTATTTTTTATTTTTAAATGCATATCAAAACATTACAATAATGAATAAAGCGTGCATATAAACACAATATTTTAGACTTACAACATAAAATCAAAAATAAAATATGTTCATAAGAACACCTGATTTATGCTTTTTATTTGGAATCATCAAAAATTTACTGGGGACCACATTGATTGAATATATTTTCTGAAGTACTTCCATTATTTTATTATTGTATGATGAGATTTTATTGTTACAGAATCTCAATGTTTGTTTCTCTTTAAAACGTACAGATGGCACTGCAAACGTTGAGAATTAAAGCTATATAAGCTATAAGCTAAATTTTTAGTTAAAGCAATAATCTCAAACTGGTCAAGTATACCAATAGTAAACATCGGTGTTTCCTAGTCAAAATATTGAAAATAAGTATTTTAACAACATATTAATGTGAGTTACCTTAATAATTTTTAGAATTCGCTATACAATGCTTTATACAAATCGGCAAATTTTTCAAGGTTTAAATAGAATCAAGTTCGTAAACAGTGACCGATTCTGCGAGGATAAAAAGTTTTCATGTCTATTGCGTAAAGCTTATTCTACTGCAGTCTTTTCAACTGAAACTGCTCCAAGTCATCAAGATGACTCCAGTGATTCATTTGGTACTTTAAAGAAATCTCTTGAAAAATGTAAAAAAGTATCTACTAATAAACGAGTGGTGCGTATTAAAAAATTTTCTCCTAGAAAAACTGATGGAGCTAATGTTTTTGGTAAACTATCCGATAAAGATCCTATGTGGTATCCAGATATAAGGGAAGTGCCCAAAATTGACAATGATCAGACTGATGATAGCACAATGGTGCGAAATATTAGCAGATGGTACAGAGATCCTACAGCTTACTTAGAAAAAATGAAAACTCTTGTCAAGGAAAAACGGGTAATTAGAATATTTTTCTGTTTATGGTTTTATTAATACTAGAGATTTTTAGGGGAAAATTAGCGTATCGTGATCTGTAGTAGAATAATCGCCATGTCTTGGAAACTTCTGGGCAGCGGTCTTCGAGAAACTAAAAAAACAACACATAAAGGCGCCAACTTGAAAGGTATAACTCATAGCCACCCCCCGGGGCAAACATTTTTAAAAAAAAAATTTTTAGGAAATGAAATTTGCAATAAAATTATCTTGTTACCAATATTTTCTTAGACAGTAAAATAAAGACAAAAATGATTGTAGGAAGTATTTCGAATAAGAGATGAATTTGAGGAAAGAAAATATTCCTAAAATTTTTATTCCAAGTGTTTTAGAGGTCAACAATAAATTTTTTAATTCTAAAATTAAATTATTGCAGTTAATGTTAAAGAAGAAACTAAGGGTTAAGTATTGGAATAAGCAAAGAAAAAGGGACTTGTAATTTACTTATTTTTGCTGATAAAGAGGAGTATGAAATTAACAAAAATGTGCTTATGTAATATTTGAAAGGTGCCTTACTAAACAGATAATGAAAATAATTTTTTTATGTGCACAATTCGACTGTTGATAAATCAGGGAAATGCTTATTTCAGGATGAGCAAATTCACAAATGAATCTGGTAGTATAAATTTTAACAAACTTTTTATTAAAAAAATGTAGAAAACTAGTTTTGCATCCTCACTAAAGACAACAGTTTAAAAAGAGTTTACAGTTTAAAATATTCAGACTTTTCAAGTTTGACACCAACTTGGTGAAAGGAATGAACAGTGATAGTACAGCTACTTAAAGGATGTGTTTTTACACTTGTTATAATTCAATTTTAAACTGCTTTCTTCGCTTCTGTTTGAGTTATTTTGCCCACATATTCTAAATAGCTGCCATTTTTCTTCAAAGATGATTTTATGTTAAGAGTAATTTATGTTTTTTTTTCTATTGTTATATATTCAAATAAATAATTTTTATGCATTTTCATATTGGATTTATCTTTATCTAGGTAGCCTCGTCTTTGTTATAATAAATTTGAATTTACAGGGGTCTGTCCAAACCAAATTTACCACCGTTTAGCAGTACCTTCACAAATTCAACTTTAAGAAAAACGAGGTCATTTCACAAAATACTTTTTCTTGAAATTTTATTTTTGCGTCTCCTAAGAAACGATAAATCCATATTTTTACCATATTTTTGTTTTGATTTTTAAATATAATTTTAATTTTCACAAATTATGTCTAAATTTTCACAAAATAGGTACCTCTCAGAAAAATCTAGACAGTCCCCTGATTTAGAGAAGTTCAATCTCGAGTAAAATGTAAAATTGTTATAAAAACATTAATAGTTGAATTAATGCAAAAGCAAAAGAATGAATAAATATATATACAGTCTAACCCCGCTATAGTGAACCTTCAAGGGGCCGAAATTTTGGTTCACTATAACCGGGAGTTCACTATATCCGTTATGCTGGCAATTTAACTAATGGTTCCCAAACTCCTCCCTTTTATTGCACATTATTCAAGTAAATGACTGAAAAATATTACGTAGTAGCAAAAAATGTGTTATTTTTCATTACTCTTTGTCTTCGTGCAAAAAAAATTAGTAATTTTTAGCTGATGAGCAATCCTCAACATCAGATATGGAAACACTTCCTGACTCTCAGATAATTTTTCCTGAATTTCTGATATTCCACTTTTTAAACCTGTCTAACCTGCCATTCGAACACAGAAAAGTAGTCTCATAAAATCGCTTAGCAAATTCATCGACATTTGTCCAGATACTGGAAGATTGCGGCTTCTTCGAATGGTGAACCACTTCAGTAATGCTTCTTCAACATCCTTGTAATATGCTTTTCTCAACTTTTTTTCCGCCTTCTAAATTTTTTTCATGAGCGGAAATTATTAATTGCCTATTTTTCCATATGTTACAAACTGCAGATTTGGATAGTTTATATTCCCTGCAAATATCAACTTGATTGCATCCATTTTCAATTTTTCTGATTATGCCCATTTTATCATCAATGGAGAATGTTATGTGTTTACTGGTCACCATAGTTAAATTTAAGACTCTTGTTTGCAGACTTTTTTTAACTGAACTGAGAGCAAAGAAAGAGTTGAAATGAGGGCCGTATCAACACATATTTGGGTCCAACCCTTTGACCAATAACGAATAAATACTCATTCCCACTGACAGAAAAAAATATTGATCCCACTGACACCTTACAGGTGTCTGGATTGGAAACATCTGCTTGGTTTGTTTAGGGATTGGAAAGTGAGATAAAAGAAGCAAACAAGTAAAAATGCTTATCGCTACTTTCCCCTCTAAAGATGGTTTTAAACATTTATATATGTATTTATTTTGAAGTAGAAATTTCAAAATTATTACAAAAAAAAATGAAGGAAAAAATCAGTCGAAGACAGAAAAAAGTTCATTATATCCAACTTCCTCACTTTTTTAGTTCACTATATCCACAAAAAATAACATTATACGCGTATAGCAAGGCACAGGACCGAACATTTCGTTCACTATATCTGGGAGTTCACTATAAACCGTGTTCACTAAAGTGGGGTTTGACTGTATATATATATGTTATATTTAGATATATATTTACTTTTATTACGAGTTTTGATTAGTCCAATATATAATTGAGAAGAATGAAGTCTTATCACTTACCCTACTACTTATATCCTTTTTTTCCCTTCTGATAAGTTTCTAATAACACAGTTCCAGTTGATAAAGAGTCTACTATTTAATCCATGGATTATACTCATTTTTCTCTTGAGACTGTATTTTTTTTTTTTTTTTTGAAAAGAAACAGAAATGACATGTTTTATTTATGTTATATATTTTAATTTTATCTGTAGTTGAAAGATGCTTTGGATCTTTTTGTTGAGATGAAGAGAAATTTTGTGGTTCCGCAGAAATACCACTTTACATTTATGATTGGTGCTTGTGGGAGGGCAGGCTACACAGAAATGGCTTTCAAACTTCTTAGACAGGTAAAATATTTTTGCTATTTTTAATGGGATGATTAATATTTGATTTGTTTATATACCTAAAAGTATTTCTAGTAAATACTCATCTACATTATTTGTTTTAAATATTCTAATGCATCTTATTTAGCTATTGAAGTTTTTCTACTTATCTTATTGGGTTAGTAGGAAAGTATTGTGAGAGTATTATGTTATTATCTTTAAATTACTAATTTAGATTTAAAGTCCTTGAATTTCATTTTGAAGTATGACATTTTTCAGTATTTATGTTCTTTTCAACATTACTAACAAGAGTCTTTCATAGACATCAAAATGTATTAAAATTTATTTATTTATTACACATTAATTTATCAAAAATCTAAATTGATGTGTCTATATTTTTTTCTATTAGTTTTTTAATATTATTTAATTTGTTTTATTTAAAGTTTTTTATATCTTTAATAAAAAAGTTTAATGAAAGAAAATATAAGACATTTTTGTGAGTATAAAAAAATTTAATTTTTTAGCATAACATCAGCAAGAAGCTTTTTACTAAACAATTTTGTTCATTTAAAGCTGCCTTATTTAATGATTTTGCAAAATAAATTTATATTCTATCCTCGCACCATCAGTGTTAACGCTTGACTTTAGAATTAGCCTTCCATATTTCTAGGTCTCTTTTTACTGAAAGTGGGTCCTTATTTTGAAAAAGAATTCCAAATCTCTTTATCCATATATTATTATTCACATTCATAATATTATTTTTTTAATGATAGACCAAATAAAGAATTATATTCAAACTATCAAAACTTTTTGTTATGGCTGATCAATGCGATAAGTTCACATTAGGAGTGAATCCATATAATGTTCATGAACGTGCGAAAAATTTGTCCCGATTAAAAATTAAATTCACATGATTTAATATTGCTCATTTTGATTTCTGTTTACTTGATTTAAGATCACACATACTGTTTTTTATTTTCGCAATCTTATATCAAATATTGCGTTTTGTATTCACATGATTTAAGAAACCGCTGTTATGATTTGTCTTCAAGTGACTTAAAAACTAGTCATTGGAATTCATATTCACGTGATTTTAAAATGAAACATCGATATTCGCATTCCCTCGTTTTTAAGATTTTAAAATCAAATATTAAAAGCAGTATTCAGGCAATTTTGAAAACAAACATCAAGATTCGGATGAATGCAATTTTAAATCAAGCATTGAGATTCATATGTACATCATTTTAAGATCAAACATCAAGATTTGTATTCACACGATTTTAAAATCAAATATTGAGATTCATACTCACACGCTTTTAAAAATAAATGTCGAGATTTGTATTCGCTTGATTTAAAAATCATTCACTGAGATTTACATTCACACAATTAATAAGTACTCACGTTCACTTTTTTACTAAGGCATTGATAACATTCTGTGAATAAATGCTTCCTGCATACTTTTTCTTTGTCTAAATTTCAGGTATTTTTTCAATTATTTAACAATTGTTTTTTACGTATAACAATATTAGAATTCTATTATCAGATATTTTGGTTTTTGACCAAACTCACCCCTAAGGCATGTATCAATGTAGATTTCTATAAAAATTAAACAATCCAAAAAAAATCCTTGATTTTCAAACAAATTTCGCCAAAATGATTTGGTGACTAAAGAGTCAAAACTAGTTACAAGAGTTATCAATGTGTGCAGAAATTTATTCCACTGAGATTTTGTGTTAGCAGAGAAAGTTTTTCATTTTATTTAAGTCTGAGTAGGAGTAATGAAACATCTGTACCAAAAAAAAGAAAGCAATACTATAATTTGAAGCTCAGAGTTATTCACATTTCTTTTCCATCAGCTATTATTAACAATAGAAAATAAATTTTAGATGTATATTTAAATTTTGGTTTTAATTTACCTACATAAATCTGTTGGTGTGCTTGCTATTTTTTCTGCACTGGAATAAAGCAACCCAGGGGCTGAGTTATAACATTTCTTTTGAGGCCCCTTTGCAATTTATGGTGTATTTGATGGTTTTTTAACACGTTATAACATGTAAATGGAATCGCTTATTCTATCCTTACACCATGCCATATTCTTAAAAAAAGTGGATTTTGGATAAACTCTTTAAGTATGTTATTAAAATTTCTTATTATTTTTAGATGACTGATCGTGGAATGAAACCTTCTCCTGCTACACTTACAGGACTTTTCAATTCCTGTGGAGAGAGTCCTTATCCTGAATATGGACTAAAAAAAGCCAAGTCACTGAAAGAAAAAATTGAAATTAAGAACTGGGAAATGAATCAAATAACATACCATGCTATGATAAAAGCCTTCGGACGTTGCGGGGACATAGAAACTGCTTTTCAAGTATAAAACTTTTACCTGCTATTTTGAAACATTTAAAACTTCCTCCCTTTTAATTTAATATGTATTTATAACCATCATTGAACAACCGACCTTGTTTTGAGTTTATGACTACTAATGTTCAATTCCATAGCCTTGTAATTTTGAACTCAATAAAGAAGACATGGGAACCCCTGGATCAAGTATGAGGGAAAATTTGTCTTCAAGGAGAACTTTTTGATGGAAATAACCTACATTCGCGTTACATGGGGAGGAAAACCTCCCATGGTTAGCCCTACAGCAAGGGGATTTTAATATTGATTAAATTTATTTGATACAAGAACTCTTTATATATTTAAATTTGTATGTTTTTATAATTATTATTTTATTACCAATGTAAACTGCCTCCCTGAAAGAATTTTTCGAAAAGGAAAAATGAAGTATTGCAAATTATTCTAGGACATTTGAAGAAACAATGAACTTATGACACAATAATGTAATAGTTAAACAACTACTTAATCATTCTCAATTTAAAATAATCCTGAAAAAACATGATTAAATAAAATTTTAATTTAAATTTTTGAAGTAAAAAATTTTTTACACATTATGTTCAACATTTTAGTTCACTAGTTTTCTTCTCAATTCCGAAATCTAGATCATGCATAATTTTTTAACAGAGAAAATTAAATCGAAACATAATTTAGAAAATTAAATTTTTATTTATCAAATTTTATTATGCTTATTTCTTTAATAGCTTTGAATAATAGCTATTGAAAATATCTTAGTACTTATGAAAAATTATTAATTTCTTCACAAACATGTATATTTTGTGTAAGACATGTATATTTTGTTTAAGATGTATATTCTGCTTAAACATGTATAGGTTACAAAAGGTATTATATAAAATTTGTAACATTATGTTTTTATTATTTCATGCAACATAAAGCAAACCATATGACAATCTCTTTAGAAGATCTGGTTATAATAAGTTTTTTTAACCTATTCCTGTTATTCCATTTAACTATTTCTGTTATTTTTCTAGATTGTTGATGAAATGGCTGCAGCTGACATTAAAATTGATGTTTCAACATATAGCTTTTTGCTGATGAGTTGTGTGGAAGACAAAAAGTCTGGGTTTACGCATGCGATTGAAGTATTATTTTATTTAGTTTATTATTTTTATTGCATTTTTTTGTGCATTTTTATTTAAAGTGCTTTGTAGAGGTTATCCTTGTTGGAGTGTATGGGTTATCACTAGTCAAGTTTTCTTAGAAACTGCTGAATTTTATTTATTTATTTTTACAATTCTGAATACTGGCTATGCAGAAAACTATATCTCAATTATCATTATTGTATTGTATTTGTCATCCTTAATCATATTTTATTAGTATTTACTGCAAAGAGACTTGGCACTGTTTTATTTTTATTTATTTTTGATAAGAACATTTGCGTGTTTAAAGTTTATAAAGTATATAAAGTTTTTTAAAACATAGCAGGAAATCTGAAAATTAGTGGACAATTAAAGTGTTCCTGTCCTGCAATTTTGTCTTCATATCCAGTTCTGCTGCAGATGTGTTATAGCTCTTGAGGATGTTTGAAGATGTAACTTTGCTATGGTAACCTAAGGCCTATGGTTACCTAACCTATAATATAACTATCAGGTGGAAACTTGTTGTTTTTTTTAAAAAAAAAAAAAAAAAAAAAAAGGCCTTAGAAATTGTATAACTATACAAAAGTTGCTTTCGAAATCATCATTGGCCAATAGCTGAAAATTAAAACGCAGTTAATAACATATTTAAGAAACAGCAATAAAATAAAACTTGTGTCAGTCGGCATACAGATAGTATAAAAATTATGAACAGCGACAAATATATCAAAGCGAAGCGTTCTATTTACGTATCAAATATGTTGCCACATTTTTAATAGAAAAGTTAAACTTTTCTTCACGTTGATAAATGTGAACTAATGCAAATCTTACAATTCAATTATTAATTCCTTCGTATATTATTGGTTTAAGTTGTCGAAAATTAATATTTCAATTGTAAGTTAGCATTAGCATACATTTATAAGAGTGGAGAAAAGTATAATTTTAATGGTTTTTTGAATATGGCTCTTTGAAGATGAAAAAGCATAGATTTTCTTACAAAATGACTGATAACTAAAAAACTAATCCAAATTTTTGAAAAAGAAAAAAAAATACTTCTTCATTACGTCAAAACACAATTATATGCCGAGTTTCGTGCCTGGGCGAAGCTTCTGGGGCGATATATTGTGATTACAGACACACACACAGCCGCGTTTATTATTATGTATAGATAATTAAGGATGTTGAGGCTTAAAATCTGGTACTGAAAGTAACAGCTCATTTATAAGTGTGAATGGCATTTATTTTGTTATTGTTCCAAATGGGAAATCATCAATGCTATATGGTAGTAGAAGGAATAAAAAATGTTAGTTCTATAGTTCAACTGCAGTTATTATCTGATCATGGAGGAGACTTTCTCTTTTTGGGTCATTTGCAATTGCTCACTTCTTTGTTTCGGTATGTGGTCTTTTTTTAAACACAAACGATATTGCTAAAATTTCTCATCTTAGAATAAGCAAAACAATAAAAAATTACATATGTCGTAGCTTATTATTTAGTCCCAAAAAAAGCAGTTCAATTTTTTATAGAATTTTAACTGAAATTTTTAATAGCGTATTGTGTTACTCATTATTGCTTATCTTAAATAATTAAAATATTTATAAAATTCAATAATAATGATTTTGAAATTATGTTTAATATTTATTTTTAGCTTGTTTGTATTTTTTTTTTCTTTTATATCTTGTAACAACAACTTCAGATTTATTTTTTAAAAAATACTTGAATGATAACTGAATTATTTTTCTTTGTAATTTCATGTTTACTTTGCTTGTAAATTACTAGGGAAACTAATGCAATATTTCAAAATTTTCCTTCATTGTGAAATTTTTTTAAATGGAAGTAATATTTATTTAGAATTTGTGTTAAGAATGCATTGAATATAGTCTTTCATTTAATGTTTGGTATGGAACTCTTAAGTGCAAATTAAATACCAATAAATATATTAATAAATGAGTGTGAAGTAAAGCTTACAGATTTTAAAACTGGCTTCAAAAAAAAAATTTTTTTTTTTTTTAAATTTATTATGTAAATTTATGCAGCCTTACTACTTCATCCTAATTTTACTAGTATATTGCTTAAAATCTTGCTATCACCTCATTTAATCAAAAATTTAAATTCTTCTATTATTTCAAATATAATTTGATCTTCTTTATGAAGAATAACAATTAGACTAATTAGGAATGGAATTATCCTTTCAATTGTTTTATATTTAAATTATATTAAAACTTTGTCTCAAAATCTGTAAAAATTATGGTATTTTTTTATTAGATTATACATCAGGATTTTCAAATTGCTTAGTATGAATTACTTACTCCATCTTTTTTGTAGATTTATTATTATTTTTAGAAACTTTTCTAATTCCTTTATTTAGGTTTGGCGTAAAATGAAGGAACGGAAATGTATGCCTAATGTTTTTACATGCAATCTTCTTTTGAGAGCTGTTCGTGATTGCAGTATTGGTCCAGACGAAATCTCTTGCCTTCTACTCCAACACTGGAGTAATTACTTAAAAAGACCATATGGCTTTAAAAGAAAAGAAATCACCTTTAGTGAACCTAAACCTATCCTACAAATTGAAAGCTCGGGCAAAATCGAGAACATTGAAGATCTTACTTCGGAGGTTATTGATAACACCGAAAAACTACTTAATTCTAAGACATTTGAGAAAAAAGATTCTGAGCAATCAACATCTCATATAATTGAAGCACCAGATCCTTCTTTTAGCTTACAGGTTACAACAGTTTCCCCTAGTGTTTTGGGAGTAAGACCTGAAGGTTCAACTGATGTGTTAGATCTAAAAGCAATCAAAACTCCTAGTGATAGGTATGTCATGAATTTTTTTATCACACCTAGGAATATTTTTTTAATTGTAATAATTTTCTATAATAACTATATTTATAATGATTGCATTTGCAACCTAAATAATAAAAGACAATTTTTAATTCGAAAAAATACATATTGCATAGGTAGTAAAACACAAATTTTTCCCACATCCCTGATTTCTATTGTTTAGAGGTTTTAATAGTTATATAAAAGTTGGAAGTGTGGTCAAATATGACTTTTGATTTGAACTAATTCCAGAATTAATCTAATTTTTTCCTTCAGTTAATATAGTTATATAATATAATATAATTATGCCTACATAAATCTGCTGGCGCTCTTTTTTTTCCCGCATGAAAATTATACCACATCCCTGATTTCTATTGTTTGAAAGTTTTATTGAATAAATAAAAGTTGGAAGTGCAGTCAAATTAGACTTTTGATTTGAACTAATTCCAGAATTTATCTAGTTTTTCCCTTTAGTTAATATAATTATATAATATAATTATACCAACATTAATCTGATGGCGCTCTTTTTTTTGGGGGGGAGGCTTAAAAATTACACCAGGGGATATGATGAGCTTTCTTTAACTAAAATCTGAATCTGTTCTTTCCAACTGAATCTTTTCAAAAAATGTCCTAACATATCCGATTTACTTCAAAATATTCAGGCTTACTTGATTTATATGCGTACTTCGTAAGTCATTTTTTTCCAAACCATATTTGCTTAAGATATAGACAAATGTCATAATTTTTGTGCCATCTGCTTTTAGTAAAAATGTAGCTCTGCTTTTTCTATTTAGTTCTTAAAGGAGGTCATTATTAGATTACAAAATATTATTTAAAGAGAAAATCTTTTTAGCGAGAATGAATATTTTATTGAAGTTTTTTTTAATCATTGGTACAAATTTTACTGAAGTATAATATTATAAAACATTAAAAATATCTTTGTATATTTTTTCATGTCTTTCTAAATGTATGGCTCTCCCTTATTTTTTTTTTTGAAAAATCAATAGCTGTGCTTGATACTATCAGTTGACTATCTTTAAATTACCATAGTTTTTATCATACTACAATTGGCAATATCATAAAAAAATGTTTTTAATTGAATATTTACTATTATTATTTTTTTATAATTTTCAGAATGGCTCTGTTAGGTGGTGCCAAAGGATTCCTTGAAGATATGAAGAAAGATGAAATAAAACCTTCCATCAAAACTTTCACCCTTCTCTTAGAAAGCTTACCTCCATATTTTGAGATTGAAGAAGAACTAATCACTCTTTTAGATATTTATAATGTCTCACCTGATATTGGATTCTTCAATATTCTGATGAAAAGAAGGATTTTTAGACATGAAGGTTTTGCTGCTAAGGTTATTATTATTGTATTAATTTTACAATAGAATATTTGTAATTATTCTTTTTTTTTAAATTAAAACTGCATTTTTATATTTTTGTTTTGAATAAACCAACATTTATTAATAGTTTATAAAATTATCCTAAGCTTGTTTTTAGAGCAAGTTCTCTTTTTTATTAATTATGTTACTTTTATGCTAAATAAAATAGCTTAAAATAGTTTGCTCTCATAATTTATTTTTCTATTGTTTTTAATTTAGTCATTATTTAGCTATCATTTTTAATTTAAGCATTTTTTATTGTGATTAATAGTTTTTAATATTCTTAAAAGGTATGTAATTGCTTAACATTATATGACAATTGTTATTGTTTGTCAAAATATGAGTTAGTTAAATGGGTCTAAATAAATTTTAATTAATGCCCTCTGTCATAAAAGTCTGTAATGTCATCATTTATCGTCTGTTTAAATTCTATTCTTTTATCGAAAGTGTATTGGCAAAAACAATTTGGCATCATTGATGTCAGTATGATAATTTTTTCTGCTTCTACTAAATTATATGTTACCATTTCTAATTTTGAATTTTAGTAAATAACTATTTTTTTCTTTTTGATGGTAGCTATTACCAATATTAATCAAATCATTGGCCTTAATATTTTTCAATTTTTCATGTTTTTCCTAAATTAATTAGCACTATTTCTCCCTCAATTTGTTGCAATGATGTTATCATTTACAATATTTGATAAAACAGAATTACCTATTGTCTATAGCTGGTATGTATAGGAACAATGGCAACCAAAGAAAAAGTTCAATTTTTCAAACCTCTCTCTTGAATGATATAGTTGAAATTTTTGAAAGATTTTTTTCGGATCAGTGATTCAAATTGTACCTTTCAACCACTGTCCACTAACTAGCAAAATTGATGCTGCAGTCATATGAGAGTACCTTTCAATAGCTTTTTTCCTCTTTCTGTTCAAAATTATTAATTTTTTCCTCAAATTTGTAAGTTTTTGTTTAAAATAAATACATTTTGTTTACTGCCTTTTACATAATCCTACAATGATTATAAAATATTCTAGGAATTATTGAGATCTCGCAAAATAATTTTTAATTTTTTGGCACTATAAGTCTGTTTTATATAAGGTGTTTAATATGATTCTCATCTTATATAAGTCTTGGAAATAGTTATGATAAGTCTTAGGAATGAAAATGTTAAATAAAGCTCGAATAAAGAATAAACAAAACTTAAATAAAGAATTTGCATGTAATATTTGTTACAATAGAATGTGAAATGTTATAGGCCTAATAAAACAATGTGTGATCTTTGAATTTTTGTTATTTTTCTTTTTTTTTTTCCTTTTCTTTTTTTTTCTTTTCTTTTTTTATTTATTTATTTTAGTTGCAAAGTAACCTGTTAACCAACCTTATAATCAAAACATAAATATTTTCCTTGATGCTGATCAACATCATATGAAACTGCTTTCTGCTTTTGCTCTACCTCATACAGGAAAAAGCAAAACTAATTTTAAAATAGAACTTGAACTTCTTTTTCAGCTATAACATTAAGGCAAATGTTTAAATTTGGCGTTACAATATGTTTAAGACTTTGCCCATCAGGAGTTGTCTATTGATTAATTGTGAAAACCATAACTCATACTCCTAAGAAGATCATTTTATTATTTATTGTGTTTATGATTGTTTACTTAAAATATAGGCTTATTTATATTTTAAACCTTATTTTTTTGCATCATCATAAGATAAATAAACATTTTTTTTTTAAATAATTTCAGCAAGTTTTGGAGTTAGTTAGCAAATGGGGCCTTTGTCCAGATGTTATAACTTTTGGTGTTTTAGCTACAGGATGTCGGACTTACAGTCAAGCTCTTACATACTTAAATGATTTAAAAGTAAGTCAACGCTATTTCAATGTACATTAATTATTTAAAAAAAATTATTATTGTTTATTATTGTTTGAATTAATTATTGTTTGAATATTTTTTTTTTTTCAGAAATATTTTTGTCACGATACATAACATTTGAAGCAATGCAAAATGAGTACGATAATTGTCACTCACCAACCCTGCTGAAATTTTGTATACATATAGAATCTTAGACTAGGAATTTATTCATGAAATTTTTTCACTGTTTCCAATTAGTAGGGTTACAGATTGTTTAAAACAAGAATTTTTTCATGAAATATGATATCAATGTTTAGTATCTACAATCGAGGAACAGTGAAGGATGTAAAAAGTTGCATTAATTTAAGAATAATTTTATGTGGCTATGTAATAAATAGGCTTTCAAATAACCTTTAAGCTAGTTGTAGCTTATAATGTCAATAAAAATAGCAAATTTTAATATTATAATTTTTGACACATTTTTTTATTTGTTTTATAATGGTCTGTACTAAATATAAATTATTCATTAAATCATTTTGTACAAAATAATGTAGTATGATGCATGTAGAAAGATTTTAGTAACATTAAAATTTGTTTTTCAGAACTCACACTAGACAAGAGGATGACTTTTTTTTTTAGAAAAAGTTTTAATGTTCAAAATTGTTTGATATTATTAGTAGTTGTTCAAATAAAGCAGATTTGAATCTGGTAATGAACAAATATTTGAAAGAACTTAACTTATGAAAAGTTATCGATATGCAATTTGTATTGTTATCTTATTTATTTCTCCACTATGTTATCTTAATTACTTGTTAAACTTTTGTGCTTAAAAAAGAATATTGTGTTACAGTAGGTATCTTCTCACTGTAATATCTATGGAAACGAGATGGCAGATCTTCTAGCTAAAAGAGGAACTGACATTTTATAGAGTAACCAGAGAGAAATTCCTTACTCTTCCATAAATAGAATAATTAAAAATACGATAAATAAGAGTTATGAAAATAATTTAATTGAACAAATTGGTGACAAGGCCTGGAAAGAGACTTTGAATGAAATTCCTGATCATCCGAGCTGCATTATGGTTGCTGACTTTAGGTTAGAAACCGGGCACGACTGCTTTGCCGCTCACCTCCATAGACTTAAGATCTTTCCCTCTCCAAATTGTGTCTTGTGCGGGGAGGACCCCCCAATGAATACTGAGCATATGGGGGTTCGCTCTGCAGTTACTGGCAACATCTATGACAAATACTGGAATGCTAGAGAACAGCTGCCGGCACTGCTAACTGACTGATTTTCTGTTTATCTTTCTATTGTTGATATTCTATTTCATGTTCCTTTGTTCTAATTGTTTTTGTATTTCAACTTTTTTAATGGTTTTATTCATTTATTTTTTATTTGTTATTATTCCTTCTGGGTCTCTAAGGCGTGTTTTTACACTCCAGTGAATGATATACACATCAAGTGCTGCTGCTAGAAATTTAAAAAAATTACATATAAATATAGCCTAAAACAACTTATTATTGAACTACTTGCACTTTTTTTTTATTTTTAATTATTTATGTATAGAGACAAACTGCACTATACAAAGTTTTTACAAAAGGAATAATCATGTTGAATGATAAAAACCTGTTTTAAAATGTAAAGAATCTAAAATTATTAATATCCAAGTAGTTAGCCTTATAAATATTAAGCATTTAGAGAAACCCTTGTATACAGTTTTCACTCCCATATGCCACTTTTACTTATAACTCAGCCCATAGAGGGCCAAGGCCTACTGTGCTCATCTCAGTTTTCTTGACCTTGGGCTCTAGGAGGCAGGAGCAGATGTTCCAGCTAGGTGGTCAGCCTAGCGCGGAACCCCCAGTGTTTAGTTCCCAAGCATGCTTTGTACTCATTTATCGACCCACTGAAGGGATGAAAGGCTGAGTCAACCTAGCCCGATCCGAGGATCGAACCCGGGATCTGTGGAACTGGAGCGCGAAGCGCTACCACTCAGCCACCGGGCGTCACTTTTACTTATAATTATAATAAAAGAAACTAGTTTAGTATGTAGAAGAAAAAAGTGCAAAAAATTCTAAATGAAATTCTCAATTGACAAAGAGGATACTTAAATTATTTTTATTAAAATGTGATTTAGTACTTACTTCTAATTTCTTCCTTTCATTTATAGAATTTAGGATTTTGCCCAAATATTGAAATTGCAGGAGCTCTTTTGGCAAATGCTTGTACAAGTTTTGATTTGGAATATTTGCAACACATTTTAGTTTTGATGCAAAAACAAGATATTAAACCAAATGAGCGACTTTTGAGAAAGTTAGATAAAACTTTACAAACTGCAAAGAAAAATATAATTGATATGGTGAGTATACTATTTAATACAGTATGCAATTTACAATTTGTTCATCTTATAATTATCCCATGCAACTATTATACTTTTCTTCACAATTTACAAACTTGTGTTTTTCACCAAGAGCATTACATAAAGAAAAAGTGAAGTGATTTTTTGTAGTGTTTTTTAAATGCTCTTTTGCTTTTTATCTTATTACATTTTAAAATTATTATATAATATGAACGTTGCCTTAATAATTTAATGTCCGATTTTTTTGCAATTGACCAAAAAAAAATTCTTTTGTATTATTTAGTTGTAAAATAATCATTTACTTAATTTCATTCATTTATAAGCTTCAAATTTCATTCATCTATCGTTATCATATACAATACTGTGAAGTAAAACAAGGGATTTTGATGATTTTTTTATATTTATTAATATTTTATATAATTAATATTATTATATAATTTTTATATTTATTACCTAATATGTAGATACAATATAATTGCTGTTTTTTTATTTATCTTAGAAATCTCCAGCTTTTTAAACTATGCCTATACACTAAATTATATTTTCTGCAAAAAAAAACAAAAATTCTTAACAAATGTGCGAGAGAATTAGAAACTCTATGACATTTCGGTATAAAACAGTGGCTGCAGAATCTAACAAAAAAAAAATAGTTTGATAGGAGTATGGCCCCTTTCAGATGTACAGACTTACAGGGATTTCTTCATAGAAAAAAAGGCAATTTAGCAGATCATCCCTACTTGTTCAGCAATACTTTTTTTGAGCTTTGAATGGGTGACAAGTTCTAATTGCTCTTCCTACAGTTTCACTGACTTGCTCTATAACAGTGCTCTCCAACCTTTCTATCCCTTCAGACCAGCTAATTTTGAAAATTTCCCCACAGCTCTCTGAGAGATGGAGAGAGGGGTGTTAATAGCTTATATTTATAGTTTTCTAATTTTATAATTTTTATTTAAGTGTATTTAAACAGGCCTTCAAATTCAATACAATTGCATGTGATGTATCAGTGCAACTTTAGATGATGTTTCTTTGTTTAATAATTTTTATTTAATTGTATTTAAACAGGCCTTCGAATTTAATACAATTACATGCATTAACCTCTCATCCAGAGAAAGTTGTACAAACCCAAGAGAAATACACCACAGTAGATAATTTAATGCTCAATAGGCAGGCCGGTAAAATTCGATCCATGAACCAGTCCTTGGCCCAAGGATTGGAGAACACATTTAAATAGGGTTGAGTTCTAGCGATCTAACTGACCAATCCACCAGGCCTATATCTTTTCCCAGAAAATGGACAAATGAATGAGCTCTACTTCGCCCCTAGTTGCCATTGATAAGTCTGAGCCAATATTCAAAATAAAATTAGGGTAGACTACATCCTTGAAAAGGACACACAGGATACTAAAACACCATTCCTACACCTCACACCAGCCTAAATGTCTCTTTTAATACTTAGGGGAATGGCAGCCATACAGATATCTACTTATATCGGTTCCAGTTTCAGCAGAATTTGATAATAACTTGAAAAAATAGTAAACCTCCAGGAAAGTTAATTTTTATAAATTTTTACTTTTTCCTATCATGGAGTCTATTTGTATTAGCAAGTAGATTATTTGTGTAAAATTATAAAAAAGTACAGTGTTAGATTTAACAATATGTAATAGTTTTATAAAACAAACAAAAAATTAGTACTATGATTATCGGTTGGAAAACTTCTTGTTGAAGGTTTTTGTTGAAGTTAACCATCCCAAGATCATAAAAAATAAATTAATTGCTTTAATCACTAAAAAAATGCCTCTTAAATACTTAATATCATTCCGAACTATGTGTGTTGGTTGAATTTGTGTGTTAGATTTATGGTATTTTTTTTATTTTAATGTCTTTTTTTTATATATAATTTTGCTTTTATTTATTTATTGAAAATATATTATCTTACTCAGACTAATTCGCAAATGAATAAAAAAAAAAGAACCTACAATTTGCAAATTATCCATATTCAAATGCAATACCTGTTTTTTTTTTTTAAGGGAGGGAATGGTGCTTTGTTATTTAAATTTTTTAGCCAATCTGGCTATACATTTACTTTTTGAAAGAATGAAAATTGTTTAAATTGTTCTAAGGGAAAACTTGATAATTGTTCAAAAATCACGATAATTATTTATCTATCGCATCTGATTTGAGAAAAAGTCAATATACGTGTTTTGTTTTTTAAGCTAAGTTTTGACAGAATTGCCTTCAAACTTTTTAATATTATCAATTTAAATGTTTCTTTTTTATGTTTCTGAATAACATGTGTTTCATTACTCGTCTATATATTTTCTGTTTAACTATTTTAGGAACATGGAAAAAAGGTGCATCAATGCTTTAAAAGAGAAAACTTTTCTAAATTGTACAAAGAATTCTGTGAATTTTACGATACCTGGTTGCCAAGTATGAAATTCGAAAATGAAGAAAATGTGTGGTCTCAATATAAAACAGAAATTGTTGAAAAAATTGTTCTTGAACCTTGTAAAATATTACCAAGAACTGAATAAATAATTTTTTTATTTCGTTCCTTAAACAATCATAACACACTTATTACTTTATTTAACTAATTACAAATACTAAACGGAGTTGGTGGTGGTCAAGCATATTTAAAGAAAACTTCATTTTAACATAGAAAAATAGATTTTGGTTGACTTTTTAAGTTTTCCTGGTGATTCCAGGGGTGATTGTGAGCCCAACTCAAACATCTTGAAAATTTCTTAAGTAAAACCATTAATGTGGCATTTCAAAAAATTAATGTCTTTATAAATTTAAATCATTCATATTTTCAAAACATTAAATTCTAAATAAATTACATTCAGTATAATTTAAATGAACAATTATGTATTAGTCTACTTTTATATTTAATCACATTTATTATTCTATGAGAAAAAATATTTACAAATGAAAGAGATGTTATTAAATAAAATATACAAGAATTTTTATACATAAATGTGATCGATGATTTTTTGAAACTTCTGAACCTTGGATTTACGGATCACGATCAGCGAAATATTCGGAATTCCGGAGCACAATCATCTCTGCTATTCAAATTATTGTTGTTTGCATGCAATATAGGGGGGAAATTCACACTTTTTACAGGTAAATATATTATTTAAAGAAATATATAATGCTATGTTTTTGCTTAGTTTCTTTTTTCAATACAATTTATAAAAAGTAACTCTTACGTTGCGTATATGCATAAAAACGATACTGTCTAGGTTCCATGTGAAAAACCTTCCTTCCTTCCTTTGCTCAGTCATATGGTATGGAAATGTATTACATTGTTTTCTCCTTCCATAATAATTTCCACATGGAGATTACAATAAAGATATTTTTCGCAATTTCAATGCAGTTTGAAAATCAAGACAGAAGTTTAAATACTCCAACTCCTATAACTATCCACATTTTAATGTTGAAAGCATGCTAAGTGGTAGAGTGCTGCTCATGAGCCGGCTTATTTTAATCACCAATTTAGAACTCACAGTACATAAAAGTGCACCAAAAAAATTCTTTTGACATAAACTGCCTATAGATATCATTTTTTTTCTTTCTTATCAATGACAATCTATATTATATAAAACACTAATACGTATGTATCAATAAAACCGATGAAATTTCTTTTCTCACGTTGGCAACAGTTTTCATTTTTAATTGATAGGATTCGGCGAGCAAGAGCACGTAGTGAGCATCATATGGCTAATCTATATTATATAAAACGCTAATATGTTTTAATTGATAGGCTTCGGCGTGCAAGAGCACGTAGTGAGTATCATATGTCTAATCGGGTGAATTCTCACCGAATTATCTTCATCGAAGCCGATGCTTTACATCCGGCGTTCAGTACTATTTCATATTGTTTTACAACACATGGTTTTAGCCCTTTGGTGGGAAAGACTTTAAAACAAAAGTTACTTTCCTCAACAACCGAAATTTAGAATAGTGTGAATAAGAAAAATATGCAAACTGTTTTCAATTTCAAATTAATATTGAAATGCACAGGTAAAGAATTTTCTACAGTGAAAAGTTTTCGGAACTTCAGTGTTCAAAAAAGTATACAAAAGCGAGACGTTAAGAACGTATCTAATAAGCGAGCATCGGATTGCGAAGCAGTTCCGGGGGTTGGCGAGCGCTAGCGAGCAGGGGGCGAAGCCTCCTACTAAGTATTAAAAGGTTTAATAGCCTGACTAGCTTTTTTTGAAGTTATACTTCTTATGCGACTTCCAACAAGGTTGCGTTAAATGTTTAACGCTGCATTTTTATTGGCCGGAAAATCACGTGGTAGGATCCAGTTTTCCCTCATTCATTTCCATATTGTTTTGGTTCTCACTAGCATAAAAGTATTGTTTTTCTATAAATATTTTTTTAGTGTGTTTAGATACACATATAATTTGATAGGGTAGTATTTTTTATTTTCAAATTTAGTGGATAACAGTTGTAAAAAATGAGTGAAAACAATCCCACGGACAATGCGATGGATTTGAGGTTATGTCAAGGTACGTCTCTTGTGAATATCAATTAATTGTTAGGTTTTCTCTTCTGAAATTACATTATGACGCATTCACATACATTATTAATACAAATACATTTTCAGGCAACCACAAGCACTTCCACTGGTTCAAGAGGTCCACGAGGGAAAAATGCACTACATTACCGTGATTACAGAGCATGGAAGCAAGCGGAGCAGGAAAAAGAGTCGTTGAATAGAACTAGTGATTCTTCTACAATTAATGTCGCAAGTTGCGAAGTTTAACTTCTTCCGCGCGGAGGAACTCCACGCACTATTTTTTTTTAATCTTCAATTCTGATCTAAGAAATTTCCTGTCATATCCAAAAGTAAAAAATAATAAGTTTATTTAATATTTTATTATCAAATTTATTTCTAGTAATTGTATCATAAGTTTAAAATTTCTTAATTGTGTGTCAAAAATTTTCAAATAAAACCACACATTTTTTAGATGTTTTTCAGTTGATTTAACTATATTTAATTTAAAATAGTGACACAGTAGTATAAATTAGATAAATGATTCAAATTAAATTATTGAAATGAAATTTAAAAATATGGAATGACCTGAAAAATACATTAAATATATTTTTCAGAATTTCTAAAGAAGAAAACCCTTTTTAAAAAAAATTCAATGTTCAAATATTTAAATGAACGTTTTTCCAGATTGCTTGTAAAATTTCTCATTCCCCCTGTAACTTTAAAATCTATCAGAGAACAGCTTTATCACATATTTACAGCCATTTCCCAGCAAAAACTAAGAAATTTTCAAAATGGTGGAAAAGAGCCGTGATGGCAGAGCGTTTGCCTTCAAATGAGGGGAACCGGGTTCAAATCCCATCATTGCGGTTAGGCTAACCGTGGGAGATTATCCTGCTTTTCCTCTCCATGAAATGCAAATGAGGGTATCTTCTGGATTGTGTTCAAAATTACGAAACTATGGAGTTGAAAATTAGTAGTCATAACCCATAAATCAGGTCAGCTAATCAATAGCTATAAAAAAAATAATGGTTGAATAAAGAGAATGGTGGAAAAAAGAAGAAAAAAAAGACAAAACAAAAAAATAAAGCAAAAATATGTAACTTTAAAAAATTTTCGATTCCACAAAGAATATGAAGGCAACCAATCAGATAATATGCCATGTTCTAAAAAATAAAATAAAAATCACTACACATAAGTATGTGCAGAACAGATTTTTGTACATCAAATTTAATACTATGTCATTATATTAGTTTATTAATAAGTTTAAACAGTAGTGTGCAAGCAAAAAAAAAAAGTATATTTATACATAAATATACCACAGAACTATTCAATTTAAAAAAAGAAAATTTTCAATAAACATTTTATTAAAATTTACTCATGATTCAAAGTAATTATGTTTATTAATTATTTTGATACAACAAGGATACGATACAACAAGGATACAAAACAACAAAGATACAAAACAATAACGAAAATACAGTAAAGATTACAAAGAATGAAAAAAATAAAATAACATACAAGTAAAACTAGAAAAACTAAAAGATTACAAATTATCACATTTTTTTATTTTGTGTGTGTGTGTTGATACCTAGAAACCCTTCTTTCCTGTCATTAAATTAAAATTTAAAAGAAATTAAATTGAATATCCGGTGTGCAGAGATAAATTTTTTACGTAATTTAAAATTATCAATAAACAAAAGTTATACTTATAAAAATACTTAAGATAAAATTACTGTAACCTTTTGAAATCTTCATAGCTGTTTCTCTCTCACTTTTTTTTTTCAAATTTATTACAAATCAAAGTCAACGTTGCATTTAAGTTTGGAAAGCAAATTGTATCTCAGATTTGAGGCTTATTACCTATAGATTGATTATAGATATATACCTGAGGTTTAATACCTATCAGTGAATTTAGTAATAAATTTGCAGAAAATTAAATGCTTTAAATTATTAGATTTTGTTCCAATATAATAAAAAACATACTCTTAAAAAAAATCCCATTCAAAAATTAAACAAATAAATAAACTTTGGAGAAAAATGTTTGTTGGTTTTCATCAAATCATGCAATACAAATGTTCATTTTACAATAAATTCTCACAATGAAAAAACTGCAATGGTGACAGAGTGAAAGTTTAAAAAAAAATTAAATATATAAAAATTAATTTAAATTCAAACTAAATATTTTAATTGAAGAAAATTTATATGGTTTAAACAAAAGCGTAAAATAAAAACAAAACTGTTATATTCAAATTAAGAATCAATACTTATTTGGTAATATACCTTAGATATTTCCTTTTATTGAATTATTAGATTTAATTTAGATTTACAGTAAACGTTTTTTATTTGCCCTAAAAAAATCACCTAAGCAACAAAAAATTGAAACCAAAATTACAAACGGCGAGCCGTTTAAAAATCCATGTTTTTCTCCACTTTGCGAATTTCTCACGTTGCAATAACATCGTATTAAAATTAGGGATGTAAGGAGTATTGAACCCTTTAGTTAAAAATTAAGTTGGCTGAATGCTTGGCTAAATATTCAGCAGAATATTTTTTGGAAAAATATTTCTCTACTAAGTTTTGTTTTCGAAATTTGTATAGATATATTAAAGAATAATTTAAAATCGTATTTTTAACTATATTAGATATAGTACACTTTATTATTGGAAATAGTTTTTATATATATTTATTAAGTTTTAAAACTAGAATTGAAACTAGATTACTTATACTAAACAAGTTTTTGTACTTGTTTTTTTTTTTTTTTTAATTATAGTCAATTTTGTCATTTTTCGACACTTTTAGTTCTAAAAAATAAGAATGATTTTTTTTTTTTCATTTTTGCTGTTCTTCTGTTTTTATTATAGCATTTTAACAAAACAGAATATATTTCAGACAGACCATTTGTTAATTGTCACTTTTTGCATTGGTTAAATGTATCAGGATTTTTAAACCACATGAAGATTGGTTGGGGCATTTGCCAAAAGAACGATTGAAACGTTACTTGGATTTATGATGGAATCAGTAAAAATAATGCCAACAAAGCATGATCACTGAAATTTGTTATTTGTGTATCAATTTTGTATTCTTTAAACCATGCGGAATTCTGTACAATAACCACCGAAAAAGCGATCAAGATGCAACATGGATTTATTATCGAATCAGTGAAAATTAGATGGCATCAAGAAAAAGACACAAAAGTGCAATTTAAAATTTGTTTTTCGTTCTCTGTTTGAATTTTTTTTTTTTTTTTTTGTGTTTAGAAGCTCTTACTGGCTGCAGATTGTTCACCCATATACTACAGCCATACGCAGAGTTCTCCCTTAAAATAAAAAAGGGCAGGATGCTGCCTACTCATTTACGTCGTAATAATTTATCAAAATGCCTACTCAATTACATCATAGTAATTTATCAAAATGTTTAATATTATGTAAAAACTGAATTTGATTCTCAATAATTTACTCTCTAATTATTTTATGAGTATGTATATTTCAAAAAATAATTCTCTCTCTATAAGAATAAGAGAAAAATTTATAGTTTATGAAAATGATAAAAGGCATGGTAATAGACAATCTCTGGAACTTGAAAGCTTTTTATATAATTCAAACTAAAAATTATGAGAAAATAAACATTTAAAGTAGAATTTTTTTTTTAAAAGAAAAAGGTATTTATTTAAAAAATAATTAAAATCACTGAAAAATTTTTTTTTTTTCCCCCATGAAAAAAGAAAAATTTATTAAAATTTAAGAATAATATTAACTAAGTAAATATTTCTTATAGTAATCGGAATTAAACCTATAAACACAGATAATTGTACCAGTTTATTATTTAAACAGTGAATTAATTTTTTTCAAAATGGAATAAGAAAAAAAGGCAGTGTTTTTAAGGGATGGCGGACAAAGAGGGTGCATTTAAAAGGATCAAAGAGCAGGCAGGGGGACCGCCATTATAAAAACCTTTAGGGAAAACACTGCTTTATGTATACTGTTGTATGCGTAGGAATGCACGGAAAACTAACATGAAATATATCATTTTATATTAAATAATATTCTTAAATCATTTCATTTTTAAATTTATAACCGGTTCCTTATAATAAAAATTTTATATAAATTACCAAAATATTTTGAATAACAGTAAGCATAAGTTTAAAATATATTATATACCTAATTTGATAGCAATAAAATACATAGGGGATATTTCCATATTGTGATCTGTCCTGCCAACTACAATCGCCAAATAGATTTTAAACTTGTAATTTTTTTAAAAAACATCATATAGCCTTTTGAGTTGGTCTAGAAGTTGCCAAGACTTGGCAATTTTTCTGCCACAGATCACAATTTGAAAATCTCCCCAAAATAAAAATTATTTTTTAATTAAAAGTTTTAGGACAGAAACAGTGGAAAAATTCTTTTTTAAACTATTAAAAATTAAATAGGTAAAATTCAATATATAACTGCATAAAAATTTCAGAAAAAATAGTTAAAAACGAGCATCAGAAAGATTACATAGGTTGAATTTAAAATTCCAAATCATCAATATCAGAAGAATCATCAGAAGTGCTGGTATAATCATCATCAACTATCAGTTCTTTTTTGGGGGTCTTTTTTTCTAAGATAACTGGGCCTTCATGATTCTTTAAATAACTTACTTTTTTTCGACCAGTTGGACCTCTTTTATTATTTTTAACAGTATCTGGTTTAGATGTAGACGGAGGAGACCCTTCAGATTCATCTGATGAATCACGATCCACTGGACGCTTTCTGGGTCTACCAACTCTACGCTCATTAACAGGTAATCGTTTTTTATACTGACGCTTCTTTTTAATGGGCACTACTTCACTTTTCTCTGTGTCTTCATTAGGTTCTTCTTCGGGATTCAAATACCGAAACAAAGCTCTCCTTTTATAAGAACTCTTTTTCAGCATTGCTCTACGATTACCGATATCAGAAGAATTATCTAAATTTCTTCGTGCAGCATGGCGTCGGCCATGTGCTAGAACATCAAGATCAAAGTCAAACCTTTCGTAACTTTTGACAATATCTGAACCTTTATCAGCACCTACATTACATGATGCAGACATGATACTGTCTTTTTGCTTCAGATACTGACTACGCATCTTTTTCAGATTTAGAATAGTTTTGCTTTCCTGAAAAAGAGTCATATCTTGCTTTAAATCAGACAAAATTCCGACCTGATCAGCCTTTGGTTTCATTAATGTATCTTTATTTAGAGAACAACACGGCCCATAAAGGCTGCCATTAGCTACTAAATCCAAGCAATTTTTCTTTAAATAATCTAGTATATAAAGTAGAGTGAATATTTTTTTTCTCACTGCATGTGAATGAATTTGCTGAAAAACCTGGTACTGCGATTGAGTAATTCGGATCTTTACCGGTAATATAACACCTTGGCTTTTATATAAAGAATATAAAAGATAAATAGCGGCAATTTGAGATTCAGTGGAGGAAGACATCATGTAATCCAAAGTAAGCTGATAGATCTCACTCGTAAATTCTCGGAATTCTTTATAATCAGGACGACCCATGAAAATGTGAGCAAATTTATGTTCTTTCCAGACATTACAAAATGTCTTAAAATCATTGTCCTCACATTTAGCGAAATCGTTAAGAAGTTTGTTCGCATCATTCATAAAACCAGCTGCAATATATTTGCATGCACACATTGTAACATAAATAGCTAAAAACTTAAAACATAAATAAAAATTCTGAGCTAAAATTTGTTCCCCCGCTTACCGTTTCGTTTTTGTTTTTCTTGACTTTCTGTTTGTCAAATTTTCATAACGGTTACAGTTTCTAACGCTTCATAAATATACCATAATTTTAAGCATAATTTTCACTATAAATTAAAAAAATCGCAGGTGTGATTTGAAAGATGCGAGTTTTTCGAGATGAAGGGAAGACATACAGGGAGAACGATCCCTTTAATGAGAATAAACGTTGACAGAACTCTCAATCATTGCACAGACAAATTTTAATCATTTGTAATGGTACGTTGGTAAGTACTTCATGTACGTCGCACTAGAGCTGCACAATGGACTATTAAGAATTTGATAGGATACTTATATGTTTTATATTTTAATAACTTTTAGCCAATAAGTTCAATTTCATACGAAATATTCTTTTTTCATTACTGATGAACTTTAAATCTAGTATTCGAATATCTTTCAATATAATGTGTTCTAAATTATTTTATTTGATTAGCAAATATCTTTTGAAAACCTAGCACTAGACTTGAAAGAACAGATTGCACTAAATGCGTAAAAAAGACATATTATTGCACTTAGTGAAAATGCTATTCTTTTAGAATGTAAGCGAATCTCATATCCAGGAATAACACTGCTAAATTGTAAATAAAGTACATTACGATGGATCTGATTTTCTAGTAATATTCTGGGTAATAGTTAAAAATGAACTAAATTTGTAAAAACTTTTTTACATTTTGAGCATAGTGGACAAAGCGACCATATCACTAATTACTAGTCTACTCGAATTTTATTTATACATCTCTTTTATTAAAAATATATTTTCTGACAATTAGGTTAGGATTGTTTTGGATTTTATACTATTTTCCTTTTACAACTAGATGTTTAAAAATTAAAATGAAATATATTTTTCATAAAAACAGTTTCCTAATATTAATATCAGGAAACTGTTTTTATAATCATTAAAATCAATTTTCATGGCCCAAACGTGACCTCCAATCTATACCCCCCCCCCCAAGCACGTTAGTGTATTTACTAGAATTACATGTCGAATAAGTGTGTCAATAGTTATAATTTGTTTGATTTAACATTTTAAAATGAATGGTTTAGTTTTACCATTGAGGTTCAGTGTATTTTTATCACTGAGTTTTCACTCACGAACAGATTTCAAGAATTTTTTGCCTTATACTTTGTTTAATTGTTTTAATGTAGAATTATTTCTTTTCATCAGATTGATAAATTATTTGCGACATAATCATAAATTAAAATTTTTAACACAAGTCGCACCATAAATAATTCCCTTTCTTAATAAAGTTTCTCTTCGGATAACAAGGAAACGCAAAATAGCTTTGCGAAGGAGGTAAGCAATTGATTTCATTTAATAACTTTTATAATTGTGTATTTATGTACTGTTAGAATTATTTTATATAATTATCAATATTATGTTTGCATATCAAATTCTTTTATATATTTCATTAGTTCATGATTCTACCCTTTATTTAATGTGCATGGATTTTGTTATTAATTTATATTTATAAATTAAATTTTTAAAAAAAAATTTTTAAATTGTAAAAGCGAGCTTCTGAATTTTCTTAAAATACTTATTTTTTTTCAAAAATGAAACTCAACTTCTTATTCAAACATGAAATGTAACCTTTATTTTTGTACAATAATTCCCATTTAGTTCAATAAAAAAAAACACACATTTAATTTAATAAAAAAAAATATTATTGCTTCATTGAGAAATGGTTTAAAATATGTCACCTTTTAAACTATTTCATTTTAAGTAAATCATGGTTTCTCAGTCAATAGATAATAATAAATAAAGTTCTTTGAAATAAAAAAAGTGTGTTTGTATTTTTTATATTAGTACTATTAGTACAATTAGTTAGTATTTTGTACTATTAGTTCTAAAAGTAGGAAAATAATACGAATGAGAATGCATTATATAAACTCCGAAATTGTTTTTTTTTTTTTTACTTACTTTTTAAATTTATAATTTTTTTCTTTTCTCATATGATAACCACATTAGGTAGAGCAGAGCTGAAACACCAAATCCGTAATCATTTACTCTCTCTCACATGTAAAATAAACCATATAAAAAAACCTTTATACACCAACAATAATTTATATAATCATAACAATTTTTATCATAATACCAAAAAATAACTACAGCTTACATTTTAAACAACAAAGAGATCAGTAGTAGTTGTAGTTCATTTACGTCGCACTAGAGCTGCACAATGGGCTATTGGCGACGGTCTGGGTAACATCCTTGAGGATGATCCGAAGACATGCCATCACAATTTTGAACCTCTGCAGAGGGGATGGCACCCCCTCTTCGGTAACCCGACGACCTGCAAGCGAAGTCGAGCACTTTACGGTAGAACAGTTTAACGAGGGCCAATACCGCACACCTTCGGTCCCTACACAGACTGATCCAAGTGGTCACCGACCCGCACACTGACCGCAGCCAGTGATGCTTGACTTCGGTGATCTGCTGGGAAGCGTGTCTTAACGATCAGTCCACTGTGGGACTCAAAGATATCAACAAAAAAAATATTCTAAAAGAAAAGTTTCATTAAAATTTTTCATAGGATTTCATTATTCTCACGAATAAAAACTGATTTAATTAGACAAAAAACATATTTTTAAGCATGGGACAATTCGTTTCCGTAAAATTTAGAGGAAAAAAGTTTTCGGCGTAATTTTTTTAATCAAAATCTTATAGTAGGGGTGCACAACCTTTTTGAGTGAAGGGCGCCACATGTACAGCAGATTGACCAATGAAGGGCCGCACGCCAAAGTATTCGCGATCGCAACACTCGAATACGCCATCTGGGGAGAGACCGGTTTCATGCTTTTAGCCCTTCTCCCTTCCCTCTCCTCCTCTTTTCAGTTGTATAGGAATGTACTACGATAATTTCCCTTTTCTTAATATTTTTCCTTTTTATGTAATAAAAATATTTTTTAAAATTTCTATGATACTTTTCTTTAGAACTATGTTTAATGTAGTTTTCAGTTCCATATAGTTTTTTAAGTTAAAAGATTTTAATCTATGTGAAAATCAAGAGAGAAACAAACGTACTTCCTTCCTCTATGACTTTCCACAGGCTAATGGGGAAAGCATGTGAAGTGTTGCCATAGGTAAAGAGTTCTGCTCTACGCCCCCTGCAGCCCATTTCGATCGCCAATTTAGACAGACATGTTGATAGCAGTTGTAGGTAGTAATTGTTATATAAACATTGTTCTAAGAACTAAATTCTTTTTGTCAGTTAACCTTGTAATAAATAATATAATTAATAATAATAATAATTTATTAATAAATAATTAAATAATTTTATGTGTTCATGGGCATAAAATTAAATAATTTTAAATGTTTAAAATTAGAAACTACAAAACTGATTACTTAGGAAAAATAAAACAGAATCAGAATCAATTTACTAGAAAAAAATTTAGATAAATTGAAATAATTAAAAACTATGGGAAAAATCAAGTTTTTTTATCATATTGCATAATACAAAAGTCCATTTAAACATAAATTTGTTCATGGAATTAAATAAATAAGACAATCTTGTTATTAAAATAATTGCTAGTTAAATACTTTGATTTAAAGAAAGTTTATAGGGTTAAAAATGATTAAAATTAAAACAAAAGCCCTTCTGCAGAAAATAAGATTCAACATTTAGTAGGGAATATACTCTAAAACATTTTTATTTTAAATAAATTATAAGAGGCAGGGGCTGTCAGAAGGAAGAAAATAAAAATACGTGTTACAACTCTTTATGACCAATACTTTTTTTAACACTTTCTATTTAAAATTAATGCACATAATATTAACAATTAATTAAAATTTACATTGCTAAACGAAACTTTGCTTGATTACATTTTTTTAAAGTTAAAATTTAATGATATACAAATCATTTCCCAGCATATAATCATAAATGATATAAAATGGTCTAAGTAGGTAGAAAATGGTTCAAAAAATTTCTTAATGGTTATCCTGCAATTTGCAAAATTTTTAAATATTGTTGTAATTTTATCGACTTGATCATGTGATAGATTTTTCGAGCCATTAAATGATTTTGTTTAAAGAACAAATTAACTCTGCAATTTTGAACATGTAAAATTCATTCTGGAAAACAATATTTCGACAGAAGCTGTTGATGTGGGTAGCATAGCATTAAACTTAAGGCAAGTAAATTAATCAGTTTTCGAAGCAGTTCCAGATGGTGTTCTACCTTTCCTGATTTTTAAATCTCGTGAATACAAATAGGGATGTGTTATTTTTTAAATTGCTTGAATATGAATTGTGTGTGATTTTCAAATTGCGTAAATAAAAAACGCGATGTGTGGTTTCCAAATTGCGTGAATACGAATCGAGATGTGTGGTTTTTAAATTGGGAGAAAAAGACTCACAGCGTATGATTTTTAAAACGCGTGAATATGACTCGCCATAGATGGTTTTTAAATCGCTTGAATATGATTTTTGAATTACGAGAAGAATAACAACGTATGATTTTTTACACGCCAGAACACGAATCGCGATATGTGATTTTTAAATCTCCTTATTGTTAATACGAAATGCGGTGATGTGCAATTTTATTATATGAATACGAATTTCGATGCATGACAGTTAAATTTTGAGAAGAATGATGATTTTTAAAACGCTTAAATACGAATCGTGATATGTGATTTTTAAATCATGTGACAACAAAAAGAATAGATTGGTTGTGTTGTTAAATATGCACGTGTTCATGGGACTTAAGTAATATGCTCGTGCTTTGAATTATTTTTTTGCAAAAAAGACCGCATTTAATATAAATTTACACATCACGGTTTTTTTTTTTTAATTCTCTTCGGGAAGGTGTTGATTTTGCTAAGAATCGAATTTCACGAGTTGTAATACTGTGTTAAAATATCAGGATATTCAAAATCACAAGTAAAAATACTGCAATAACGGGAAAGAAAAAGAAAATCAGCACAAAAAAGTAAATATTAAAATCGGCACAAAAAAGTAATGATTTTAATGCGCGATTCAAAGCTCGCGAGCTGTCAAACGGTAGTGTTAAAAATATCAGAATTTTTTTAAATCATGGGGAAAAGCGTTGTTTTAACTACCAAAATCCCTTTATATTTACGTTGAAATCGGTGTAAATAAAGCGTGTCAAAAACTGATGTATTTAAATGTAGCATTCGATTATGAAGGATTTGAAAGTTCCAATATTTTTCATACGCTATTAATAGCGTATGAAAAATATTGGGACTTTCAAATCCTTGCAATAAATACCAAAATAATGATTGAAAAATAATTTGATTTGCAATAAAATCGGCACTAATAATAAACCGCGTCAAAAAATGGTTATCTAAATGAGTGATTCTTTCGATTCGTAATAATATCGTGCTAAAAATATCGAAATTTTAAAATCTATGTGGAAATGCATAGCAATAACTGCTAAAAAAAAAGGGATCAAAAGTCATTTAGATTTGCTATAAAGTTTGCGCAAATAAAACGTAATTTAATCCAACTTTACAAATTATTGTTATTGAACAATATGTAGCTAAAAAAGTGTCGATATTTGCTTTAAAAATAAAAACTGAAAATTTTAAAATAAAGTATTTCTAGCGTCATTTACGACAACCAGTAAAACATTTTTATTAGTTTAAAATGGTATTTATTTTAATATTATGGCCAATAAATTTTTTGGGCGGAAATAATGTGTTAAGTTTGAATCAAGAAAAAGTCGAACTTATGTTTTACAAAGAGAATGATGCGAAGTTAACAAAGCTCTTCTCTTTAGCCCTGTACGAGGAAAGGTGACTTCGAATAGGGGTGTGGTGGGGTGGATAGTTATGTCTTAATCTTAGCGTAGGTCGTCCTGAGTAGCCACCGTGAGTCAAGGTGTAGGTGTTGTTGTTAAAGGCCTCTTAGTAGATTGTAGGTGTAGGTCAAGGCCTCTTAGTAGATTTGTGACGTCATCCTCTGAAGTGTTAGCGAAACATAAGATAACGCGGTATTCAGATTTGTATTATGAGAAAACTATAATAAATAGTTCAAACTTTTGAGCGACGTAATATATTTTTGCTTTAGCTATTTTAATAGCACTTAAATTTCTTTTAAGTGGTGAATTTTTAGCTTTTTTAAGTCATTTATAAAATTATAACTCAATAAAATGAACATGTAGGACTTTTTGATGCTTTTCAATAGAAATGAATGAACAGAAATGAAATTTAATAAGAAATTTTTTACTTTTAATTTTTAAATCTTGATTCATCATAACTAATATTATTATCAAAAGAATAAACCTTATTTAAGTGCATAATTTATTATTTTCTAATATGCAATTAAATATTAGATTTAATCATATATTTGAAAATAAGAAATGATAAATTTTAGTAAGGAAACGGATATGAGACAAATAAAAATATGTTATATCATGGCAGAAAAGAGACAAATAAAGAAATAATAGTTTTATTGGCACATTCATAAAATTTTTATTTTAAAATATGTTTTAAGAATTCTTTCAGAATCTTATGATATACATTCAAATTCCAAGTGGAAATAATATAAACATAAATACTGCAATTATTTACAAATAACTGACACATATGATATTCAAATAGTACAAAATAATTATAAAGTAATAATAATAAGAAAATTATATGTAATTTAGCAAAGTATTTCGATCATTAAGATTGTAAAACTTTAAAATAGTATTTATTATTTTCAAAAATAAATATATCTTTTCTTACTATAAAAAAGTAAAGCATTTTCAAATCTTAAGTTTTTCTAACATATAATAAATTCATTGATGACAATCTTTCTTATAAGATTTGTTAAAAAAATATCTCAAAATAGAGATTCCTCTAGAAAATTATTAGTATAATATAGTATTATTAGTATAATATTCTGAGCAGAAATTGATCAATAATTACAAAAATTTTTATCACTGAAAAAGGCAAGAAAATATTGAATATTTTTTATGTACTGCACTTGAAATTGTCTTCAAGTTTTTGTTAAATCGCAATTTTAAAAAAAAATTAGGAAAGAAAAAATATAAAAGCATTTATTAAAATCATTTTTCCTGTCACTCAATAAGATATATATCATTAATTAATATACTTTATATAAGATACATTTCAATGAATATGTATAAATTTATATATTATTGTTTTAAAGCTTGTTTACATATACGCTTCCAGACCTATAAAATAAACATAAGAAGGTGAATAAAATGAGAATAGCACATATAATCTGGAGCAAACTCAAAATTTATTTATCCTTAAGATTGCAAAAATCTAAATTTAAATTTTGTTTATGAAGAAAAAAAAAGAATGTTTCTTTTTTAGTTTTAGTATAGATCATTACAAGGTAGTTCAAAAATAAAGAAAAAAATGTCAAAAAGAGAAATTGAAATAATCCAATATCATGGTTTTATTGATACTTAATATTTACCAAAATTTATGCTAATTTTATACATAAATTTATCAAAACATAATATATTTGTAAAAAAAATTTCAGTATTTTTATGCATATCTTTATTGAATATTACTCTTACTTCAAAGCACCTAGTTTTCTTTTTTTCTGTTTTTCAGCAATTTTTTATTGTTTGTCTATTTCATGTTTATCATTCTTTTCTCTGCAATAATTGTTTAAAAATATATTTGTTGAAGACCACAAAAGAAGTTTAATGATTTGAGACTCATCGTGCCTATTATCACAACAATCATCCATTAAATTTTGTGACTCTAATAACTTTTCAGATAGTTCAATTGCAAGTAATCTGGATTTGTCATATTTATTAAAGTCTTCTTCATACTCATAACACAGTTTTTTTTATAACTATGTAGTTATATACTATAACCTTAAAACATGCAGCGGAAGATATAAAAGTTTACCTCTATCTAAATTTAAAAAGTAAGTATTATTATAATCAATTTCTAGAGATTTATCAACTGATAATTCCTGTTGACAAATAACGCATTTTAATTTTTTTGAAGTAATGTAAACACAATATCCGGCAATGTATAGTAATGTACCAAAAAATTCTTTCACTGCTTCAATATTATTATTTTCGACTGACACATCAGAATACAAAGAAAATACAGCATGTTCCTCAAGATTATCCGGTTCGGACTCAATAGAAACATCTGTAATCAAAATTTTACCTTGAGATTTAGACATGATATTTAATTTCATTAATGATTGCATTCTTAGTTTCTTTTCCGATTCATATAGCTGCCTAATCGATGTGATAATGGCTTCCCGACATTCGACGGTATAACCCGAACCTGCTTTCCAAATAGTCCGTTTGAAACTTCCCAGGTACTATATAATTAAGTTTAAGCTGGTCTTTACAATATGAGGCTAATTCTAAAATACCATTTGTTGTTATTTTGAGGGCTGAGTGTGTTTCTTTGGTAAACATACCTGTCTGTATAGCACAATATGTTAATATAAATAAAAAAAGGTGAGGAATCTAACATCTTCGCCGTACCTTGGGTAGGGAGGGTCTTCGCAGTGGGGGATGAAAAGTCTTTTCTTCAACATCCGCGAAGGGGGGGGGGACCGACGGGCTTTATAGTAATGATTTCCCATTCATACATCAATCCACTTCATTGTTGATTCTGTTTAGTAAATTCCCATATTTCGAACACATAAAGGGCCATTCCTAAAAAAAATGAAAAATTTATATAAATTGAAAATTAATTTTAAACCAAAATGTTAAATTATTTTTTAAAATTATTTTAAGTTGGTATTAAATTATTTTTTTGAAATACCAATTCAAGTTTTCAGTTTCTCTACAATTATTTTATAGTTTTGAGTTCCAAAACATTTTATACTATATGTGCTGAAATTTGTTCATTATAAAAAATTTCTTATGAGAACAATGGCAAGCAAAGCAAACTTTGCTCCCTGTCCATAAACACCTTTGAAAAATTAGGAAATAAATTAATTGCTACTAATGTATTGAATTTTCAAAACAATTGCATAATTATCTAAAAAAGAATTAAAAATACTTAAAGAGTTCAGAATTTATTTATATGTAACTTAGGAAAAGGAGTGTTACATTTTATAACTTTACAATCTATCACTTACCCAGGAAAATCCAAAGCTTAAATTAGAGGTAATGGAAACCAGAAAGCAATTAAGATTATTTAGGGACCTATTATAAAATTTATATTTCTAAATTTTATAGTTAGGTATATAGTATATGTCATGCTAGGTCTAAATGTAAATTAAATTCTGTAGCTTTGGTAAATCTGTATTCTGGTAAATCTGTAGCTTTGGTATTACACCTGCTCTGATATTTCTTGTTAGAAAACAACTATGCCTTAATCAACAAGAAAATCTGTCTTTTTTTTTCTTCTTTCACTTCCTTTTCATAAACCAATCAGAGTCAGTTATGTTTTTACCCCCAAAGAAAGCAGACATTATTCTTTTTATCATTTGTTATATTTTAATAAACATTGTTTAATTTGTTCATCGCCAATCATCATCAACATTCATTGCAGCATCAAACATTTTCTACTCATCTTAACTATGTAGAGTTCTTTTTAGGAATTATTACATCAAATGATATAAAAACTCTAAAAAATAAATTTCTTTAACTTACCATTGCCATCTTTTACCAAAAGTATACAGCATGTAAATCTGATGTCAATCAGCTTTTATGTCCCATCAAAAAAATGGATAAGCTACATATATTATTCTTATTTGGTTGTCTTGAAAGAAGTCCCTTCAGTCCAGAATGTCTACGGACCATTTGTGACTTGTCCTCTTTGGCCAATAATCCCACAACTGCTATCTTACTATTACCTACAAATGCATAAATTTTTTCAACATTTTATTTGTGAGTATAGGGTAAAAACTTGTTAACTTATTACATAATTGATACCATCCGATATTACACGAAGAATGAGGCTATAATACCAAAATGTAAATAGAAGGGCAAAGTAAGAAACTAAGTAGCAATTTATTTTAAAGAAGCTGTATTTATAAATGCATTAGTTTAATATTACATTATTTTTTCTTACTTTTTGATTTGTATGGGCAGAAAATAAACAGACACATGTATGATATGGTTTTAGGGTGGTCAGTCTCTAGATAAAACTGTATTTTAAGAGATTTCCAGAGTAAAATGAAAAAGTTTTTCTTTATTAATGTATATAAGGCACATATACACCACATTTAGCAAAAAAAAACTTTTTTAAATAAAAATTTATCGCTATTTCATATTTTAAAAGTTTTAACGTTACACTACAAAAATAAAAATTAGTTACCATTAAAAGCCAATCTGAAACAATTTTGAAAGATAAAATGCTTTGTTTAATAGAAAGTTGAAATAATCAGATTTGTTCATTAAAAGATTTGAATTATTTTTAAAATAAAAATGATGACGAGGAAATACAACTAGAAAAGTTTAATAAGCTAATTAACAGTCTACAGCTGCACTCGTTTTATGAATTTTTATTTATTTTTTTTAAAAAAAAAGTTATCAGGTCTATATTTTAACAAATTCATGAAAACAAACTTTTCACAAAAGTCTAGAATAACACTTTGGAGACCAACTTTTCCGAATTGACAGAACCTTAGAGCCAGAAATCTAAATCCAATAAAAAAAAAAAAAAAAAAAACAGAAAAAAAAAAACATGCAATGTTTATTAAAGCGAAAGCATTTTTTTAAATGTCTTACTTCATAACTAAAAGAATTTTCTGCACAAATTGTTAAGCATATTTATAAACAGGTCTTCAAACTATTTAGATTGAGTCCCAGCATGTGAAAATCAGACCATTAGATTAAAAGTTATTCTGGAGCATCACTTTTTATTTTGAACACTGCATGAATTTGATAAATTCAGTACTAAAGATCACTGACAATTAATCAACAATTTAAAGAAAATTAAATAAGAAAAATTTTTTTTAATAGTGTTTTTAACAATGTTCTATTTTTGGAACATTGGTTTTTGACAGGGGCATTTTTACTGATGGCAGACAAGATCAATCCAGCTGTGTTCAAATAGATATCTTAGGTCGGAACAAAATAGCATTTCTTTATAAAAGTCCACAAAAAGGTCAAATTCATTTTGCAAAACTTTTTTCAAAGAATAAAATTATTCTAGACACGACAAGATATTCTACATATACATCAGGCAATACATCAATCACTGGCAAATACATCAGGCTCTAGCTGAAAACTATCTAGATACCTAGAAAATTAAATCAGAAAGGAAAAACTATCAATAGCAAGAATATCTTCAACACAACTGTGGGGAATGCATTGAAAACCCCTTAGATATTAAATTTTAACACCATTTTCAAATAAGGTAAAAAGTATAACTTCTGAAAGTCACTTTTTATCCGCAAGAATTTCTTTTCAATAGTTAGAATTTCAACAAAAGAGAAAAACACTGTGTATGAAAGAGTGCATACTTTCTAAGTATTCGTCACAATAACTCTGATATCATGACAAAAGAAGTTTAAACTTCATATAATCATTGCCCCTTTCCCATTCAAATCTTGAATAAGTATCATAATCCATACGAATTGAATAAGATGCACACAGCACAACTAAATGTATCCCTTGAAATCTAAAAATAGAAGTCGTAAAACAAAATTGTTCCAAAAATGGAGCATTTGGTTTTAAAATTATATTTTGATGTTAAAATACAATTTTGATGTCAGGCTAAGGGTTATATCACCCCTTTAAAAGCTTATAAGTATTGTTAGTCAGATTTTAAAAATTAGGTTTTTAATTATATTACAAGTAGGACAACAATTTACAAATTGTATCAAATATTCATAAAAAATTCAAATATGGAAACAGAGTCAAACTAAATGCAAAAAATTCTTCTTTAAATCTATGAAAAATAATACTATCCATATACCATTTTTTGGAACATTAGCATATAAATGGTAAATATTCATGAAATAAATTTTTTTTAACACAAAACATGATGTTGGCCATTAACGTAATTTTTGCTTGTGAAGGAATAGAAATTAATACATACATAGAAGGGTGGTAGCTGCATATTTATAGTCAAACTGCAGGATTAAGGAATTAAAACAAATAGAAAGTGAGTAAGTCCAGAAATAAAAAATGATTTTCTTGCTCTACCTCTCAGTGTTTTTTTTTTAAGTCTGAGATTAGTTTTTAAGCTTACAAGAAACAACATGCTAGCAAAGAATTGCAAACTGAATATCAATCTTGTAATTGGAATGAAAATTATACCATGTGATTTCTACTTCATTATTTTAATTGAAGATTACTTTTAAAAAATAAGAGCTGGTAAAGAGGATGAAAGGGTCTACGGCCCCAGACATCTAGCCGAACGATGCTAAGACTTTTATATTTATTATTATGATTTTTTTTTCTCAAGGATATCATTAGGCTCCATTAAAATATTTGGTGAATAATTAATATAATTTTTTGACATAATAAATTCAATAATTGAAACATGATAAAATGAACAACAAACAAATCTCAAATAACTATTGATATTTTTATTTAAAGAATATTTTTATTAATCGTTCTCGTTTTGTTATTAATAAGTTAAAATGGAATAAGATTTGAACATGGAAAAAAATATTATTCAGTTGGCAATGAAAAATCATTAAAATTGTAACAATTCAAATCCATTTAAAAATGAACTGGTACATTTAAATAAAAAACTTTAATTACTTAGCAAAAAAATTTCAGAGTATGGAATGTGTGAATACATGCATAATACAGAACTGGACAGACAGAATACATACAGAAATGGAATACATGCAATAAAATGTGTTAAAATTCTATAAATTGATCTTCAAATGATTCATCAGAAGTTTTATTGCAATCATTTATAGGTTCTTCTTTTGAAGATATGATAACAGGTCCTTCGTAATTTCTCAAATAGCTCACTTTCCTTCGTCCAGTTGGACCTCTTTTAGTCTTAGTAACTGGGTTAGGTAAAATTTGGAAAGAATATTTAAAGTCTGAATCATCACTTTCACATGAAGAAATTTTTTCGGTGTGCTTTTTTGGTCTACCGATTCTACGCTTATTAACTGGAAGACGTTTATTATAAAAACGTTTTCTTTTCAAAGAAATTATTTCTGAATCGGTAACCTCATTGTTTACACATTCTTCGATAAGTTCTTCATGATATTTTGTTTTGGGAATCATAACTTTCATTTCAGAAGCGGCATTTTTTATTTCAAGTCTTCGACGACCTATGTCGCTTTTTTCTATAACTGGTCCTAAACTGCTTTTATTATTCTTCCCAGCATAACAAGAAGAGTCAGAATAATTTACATTTTTTCCCAAAATTTCATTCAGCTTCCTATTTTTTTCTTCATAGTCATTTATCAGAGAAGAATCATTATCTCTAACATAAGTTGGTGCAGACATAATAGTGTGCTTTAGTTCTGAATATTGATCCCGCATCTTTTTTAGATTTGTAATCACGTCATTATCATGAAAATTTGACATGCTTTGCTGTAAATCAGTTAAGATTACTAACTGATTAGCGCTCGATTTTATAAGATTATCTTTGTTTAAAGAGCAACATGGACCGTATAACGTACTATTGGCGACTAATTCCAAGCAATTTGCCTTTAAATAATCAATTATGTAATGTAGCTCATGTGCTTTCTTATTAACAGCGTATTCATGAATTTGTTGAATATTACGATACTGCAATTTTGAAACTCGAATCCTCACAGGTGAAATTTCATCTTGATTTCGGTATAAAGCATACAAAAGGTAAATCGCAGCAATCTGTGAATCAAAGGATGACGACCCCATATAATTTAAAGTTAGCTGATAGATTTCATTTGTAAACTCTCTCAATTCTTTCTGATCTGTGCAACCCATAAATATGCACCTAAATTTATATTTTTTCCACACGTTACAAAATGTTTTAAAATCATTATTCGGGCACTTAGCAAAATCATCATAAAGCTTTTTAGCATCATCAATAAAACCTGTTGCAATATATTTATAAGTACTCATTGCGTTGTAAAAAGTCAAGAAAAAACTCACCACGTTGAATTGAAAACCTCTAATATTTTACTTTGAAATTCACTTTCAGCACATGTTTCGTCGATTTCATCATTATTATTGTTAGTCTTGTTTCCGGTTGTCTGCTTCTGTTTGTTAAAAAGTAGATAGAAAGCTAGGGTTGTTTAATACTTAGTGAAAGCTATAAGCAAATCTTAATCGTGCAATAAGTTTTGAAAATAATATTCTTGTCTTTGCTTATGAAAAAAAATACAAAGAAAAAACAAGCAATTGAGAGGAAATAATTACACTTAAAAGCAGATATTTAAGAATTTTAAGTAAGATTTGATACTGTTTCATTTTTTTAAAATGTAATGGAATTATTTCTTATTAAATGTTTATGTTATGTGAAATTTGTATTGTATAACGTCTTTTAAATGTTGTACTTCTTAGTCTTATAATTGCATCTAGTAGGGTCTATATATTTTATTATTTATTTTTACTCTATGAATCGTATTCATTTGGTAGCGGGACGTAAAACATTACCAGTAGTAGCGGAATATATTACCACGATTAATTAAGAGTCAAAAATAGTTTGGTGCCTATATTATGCACCCAGTAGTGGTTAAATATTCAAATACTTGGGGATATTATCATAACTACGGCAAGTTGGCGAAGATGATGTTCTAAAAACGGATTAAAAATTTCAGAGAATTCTTTCAAAGATGACAGATGTTAACACCTTGAAATCATCTGTCACAAGGAATAAATCTCTAGTTAAACCTCTTGCACTAGACACACCTTGAACAGATAGAAAAAAAGGAAGTCTGATTCCTGTTCTGCCGTTATTATTTTGGAACAATTTAAACACATCCGAACCATCCAAAGATATAAATGATTACTCATCCAATAACTATATAAATGTATGCAATATTGTTAGTATAATTGAATGAAATTTGTTTTATTTTCTTATTTATTTATTTTTGATAACTTGGGGATATAAATCTTAAAAATATAATTAAAAAATGCAAAGCAATTAGTAAAAATAATGGAAATAAATACAAGAAAAATATTAAAAACATCTTGAAAATAAATGAAAAAAAATTATTACATCATTGTTACTACCTGTGGTGCATGCACAAGTCATGAAGAGGTCAGAAGATGCATGACTTTTAATTTGTAATAAGCTGCGCCGAAGTATAATCTGTTGGAGAAAATCCTTGTAACTCCTAATTTGTTTACAACTATTTGTGTATAGCAGATTAGCAAATTTTTTTCTTCACAATATTATTAATGTAATATCAAGGTAGGTGTACCACATATGGGAAATATTTTCAATTGATAGTATTAGAATGATAAGAAAAATAGCTGCTTAGTCGTTCTTCTTAAAATCTTTTTTGAATGCACTTTGCACTTATGTTTGTTTTTTTTTTCCAATTGCATGGCAGTATAACAGCACCTATACACCCAAATACCAAAATACAACTGCTAAGTTTTTTTTTTCAAATATTAAAATATAATTATTGAGTAATATATATATTGAGTAATATAATTTTGATTTCATCCTGTTGTGTGATTTTTGTTGTTGTTTTTTTTGGTAATTTTTACTGTGAAAACTTGTTGGCCAATTTTGGTGCACTTATATGGAAATCTTTGTTGTTGTCTCAGTACTTTGAAATATATTTTCTAAAATTTTTTAACAGCTCATATGCTTATACAAAATACTCATTGTTAATGGGAGGTTAATACTTTAGTAGGGTAGAACTGAAGATTTACAGCTTTCTAAATTGTATATCTTATATATTTTTCATATTAGCCTATTTTTTTTCACTTTTGGTGAATATTAATTATTACACTTTTCTAATTTTTTATGTTACATCTAGTTTTTAAAGCAGAGTATTCTTTATATTCTAATAAATACCTGTGTTTTGTTTATTATTTTTTTCCCAGCTATGTCAAAAAGTTTAAGCTTAAAAAAAAACTTTGTTTGTTTTACAATTATTTAATAATGTCCCAAAAAATCAGAATTCTAATTACTAATTTAATATTAATAAATGCTGTAAGTAGGTTGTTAGTTGCTTCATTTTAATCCGTAAGTTGAAACTGAATTTTCCTAACAAATTTTTAATAGCTGATATAGTTATTTGCGAATTATATATTTGTCTCCATTACTCTGTTGTTTTTTATGGTGAGTGGTTAAGTTGATTTGTATATTAATTTTAAATGAATGCACATATGCAAAATCTTCATTGATGTTTATTTTAAATGTGAGTGGGATTGTTTTTCTTAAGTCTTTGTTTTCATAAAATAGTATAGAAAAATTCATTGTTGTGTGATTACTCTTGCATAACTTTATATTCTAATCTTTTTGATTTATTTTCTTTTTTTAACTATTATTTTAGGACCTTCAAGCAATGGCAAGTGGTGACTTACTATTTGAGCATATCACTTCATTCCTTAATTTTTCAAATGAAGAGTCAAGAAAGAAGCAGTTTGTTCTTGCAATCAAGGATTCATTAAGTGATTTAAGTTTTGTTTTTGCTGATTTTTTATCATTTTATATTAAACAAGACTATCCAGTGATCTTAGTAAATTTAGCACAATCCTTTCATCATTACAATTATATCTTGTTAAAGTCTGGCATAAATTTAAAGACATTACGCGAACAAGATAAAATTATACAAATTGATGTTCTCGGAGAAGCTGAAAATGTAATTAGTTGTCCAGCGGATGTCGTAAATAATTTACAAACTCTTTCTTCTGTTGTCTTGAATTCCAGTGACTCACATTGCTTAAAGCCTCTCTATGAATCTATTGAAACCGGTTTGAAGAGCATTTTAAAATTAAAGCCTAAACAATTTATTTTACTAATTGACGAAATTAATGTTTTAATCAACCTTGGTGTTCCTTTAAAAGCCATACAACTGTTTATTCAGAGATGTTTTGCTTTGTGCGTCAACGGAACTGAAACAGCTGGTCTATTATTAGTTGGTGCACTTCAGGATGGTAATGACTCTGAAAGTGTTAAATATGTGAATTTCCTTTCCCATATTTGTGATATCGAGCTTCATATTGAAGGTTTAAAAACTGGATACAGTAAAGATATCCAAGGAAAAGTGAGTAGAAATGGTTGATGTGAAATTTATTTACGATATACATTGTACAGTGACACCTCTCGGGAGCAACCACTCTACGTTCCATAGTGAAATAGTCGTTGCTGGAGGTTGGTCCTTCTTAGTGATTACCTCCATAGACTTCGAAATTGTTGTCGAAGGTACAGGGGTCTGTCCAGACATTTTGTGAAAGGTCTGTTTTTGTAAAATTGTGAAAAAATTACTCGTAATTAGTGAATATAAGATAAACGTTAAGCCACATCTTTCAACCAGGGTCCTGCTTTTATGAATTTGTGCAAATAGGGTCCGGTAATTGCAAAAAACTTTTTAAATTGTAAATAGATAAAAGATTGTGGTAGCGCTTCGTGCTGCCGTGCCACAGGTCCTTGGTTCGATCCTTGGGCCGGGCAAGGCCGACTCAGCCTTTCATCCCTTCAGTGGGTCGATAAAATGAGTACCAAGCATGCTTGGGAACTAACACTGGGGGTTCCGCGTTCGGCTGACCACCTGCCCGGAACATATGCTCCTGCACCCCAGAGCCCAAGGTCAAGAAAACTGAGATGGGCACAGTCGGCCTTGGCCCTCTTAATGGGCTGTCGCGCCACTGAGTTAGAGTTAGTTAGTTAGATAAAAGATTATGCACAACACTGTAAAATTATAATTAAAAAAAAATTTTAATTTTAAGCAATAAACAGAAATTGCTGCTACTAAATTAGTGATGCAAGATACAAATATTTGGCATTTAGCCTATACTGCTGAACACAGAATATTCATTTTGGACGAATAAAGGAAGAAGCGTCTGTCGAAGACAAAACTTAGTTCGTTCGCATCTGTCTTTCTCCCCCCCTCCCCGGAAAGGATTTATTCGACTAACAAAACAATAATAAAGATAAGCAAATTTGCGAAGGGTCCGATTAAAAGATAAATTATTTTGTGAAGGATCCGTTTTTAAGTTAAAATATTTTGTGAAGGGTCCGTTTTTATTAAAAGATATTTTGTGAAGGGTCCATTAACGGGCCCAAATTTCTTCTAAACAGACCCTTGAGGTGGATGATTGTTTGCAAGCGCTTTTAATTTTTATCAGTGATGTTTTCTTGGTGCAGAAATGCCATTTCTGTTGGCGTCATTGATGTATCAATGAAAAAAATTTAGCGTCTGTAAAAATGATGCCAGCTGATTCAATTATGTGTAAAAACAAGTTTTCCGATTATAGATAATAAAACTAATTTAAATAAATAAATAATAATATTTTTTGTTTAAGTTTGCATTTAATTTTGTATCATAAAAATTAGTTAGCTTTAAAAGATGAGAAGAGACTTGTTTGTTTCTTCTAAAAAAATTTTTTTTTTCTAATTTAACTTTCAACTCTGAAAGTAAATCATAGCATCGTCTTTAGTGCACTCTGACTGCAACATGAGGTCGTATCCTCTAAAAGAGCTCTCTAAATAAGAGCCTCACACGAATATTTTGAATACATTTTAATCTATTTAATTTTGTAAAATTTATTGTTTTTATATTTTTTCTTGTTTTTTAATTTGTCCTTTTCCACATTTGGTGGGGATATTTGTCTGGTACCTGGGAGAGGTTTTAATGGTCTCTCCAAGAGCTTTTCTTCAACATAAAGTCTATGGAAAAAATTCTGTGCCTCCCAAAAAGTGATCGTAAATAGAGGTGGTCTCTCCTAGAGGTTTCGCTGTATTATTTATCTTTCAGCATTTCAAGCATACTTCTGGGCAACTTACTGAATTTCTTTTCAAACATTCTCCATACTTTTTTAATGTGAAGCAATATAATAATATAACATGAAATAATGTAATGTGAACCAAGGTATAGCCAATATTGGCTCTTGTATAGTACGGCTTTCAGGAGAACTCCTCCAGACACCAGTCTTGCTTTGTGGCGGGAAACATGGTTAAGAGAAATGGTCACTTCGAATAGGGATTTTATATCCAACAATTTTTAATACTTTTAACAATAAATAAAACCATCATGTTTATCATTTGCCAAAGATCTTAGATCAGTGCTACAAACTAATGTGCTTTGGGAAAGAAAAAAAAAAAAGAAGAGAAATACAAAGCTGGGGACCAATGTTTAGGCATTGTATAATTTTTAAAATTCTATAGTTTGAAAGTGCTATGGATGTATAACTAATTGTTTGCTTGTGCAGCTTTTAAAAACAAAAGTGCTTGATATTAATATATCTAATGTACATAAATTCAGGATTTGGAATGCAAAAATTATAATTTTTTTATTTATCCGTTTAAAATTTTCTTTTTTCCCCTAGTTTAATCGTAGAAGGTCATTCAAAATTATATTTCACTGCAAACTCTGAACCCATTGCCATATACAAATTCGAAATTTTGAAATGGTTATTTTCCTGATCTCTGAAAAAGATTGTGAATTAAATCAGTAACTTATCAGTATTGCTAAAAGATATTTCTTTGCTACCTTTTTTATATATTTTTTATTTTTTTATTACTTAAGATATCATATATACATTTTCTTAATATTAAGATCACATTTAAAAGCCAAAACAAGGCTTATTGGCCCAAAAGTTAAGGCTTTGGATTAACAGGTCATGGGATGTGGTATTTTCATTAATTATAAGTATCTAATATTACTAATCTCTTGTTACTAATTTTTTGGCATTTAAGTAAAAACTTTTTTTTCTTCTAGAAATTATAGTTAAGAGAATTTTTTATTATTTCAGTAACTTCCATGTCTTTTTTTCAAAAGTAATAAACAAAAAATTATAAAGAAAACAATTATCTTACTTATATAATATAAAAATTTTTAAATTTTCCATTTAAAAATTATTTCATTCATTCATTAAAATTTGAACATTTCTTATTTAATATTTTGATTTACTACTTTTAATCACATTTAAAAAATATTTTTCTTGTTTTGCTAAATTTTATTTTTGCAAAAATATCTAAATTTAAACTAGAAAGTGTTGCAGTTTAAATAAAAAAGGAAAACCTTATTTCTTAAATAAACAAACCTTATTTTATCTTTTTATTAAAGAAATATTGTTTGAAGGCATTTGTAGCATCGTTGTAGAAAATTAACTTGCTTACAAGTGTAATAAAAACATAAAAGGACTTTAAAATTTATCATCTTATGATTTTTACCTTGTTTTAATTTCTTTTATTGACTTAATTCTTGAACTATAAGTTTACAGTTGTAATGATTTATGAAACTCTTAGTCTTTATTTATACTTAATTTAACTCATTATACAGTAATATAATAAAATGTATTAAAGATGTGAAATCAAAATTTTTTAATTATCCAAGCTTAGTATTTAAAAGTTATATTTGCAAGTAAGTATTCTTAATTTGTTAATATCAGTTTAATGAAGTAAAATATGTTATGTTTTATTTGCTAGCTTTTTAACGAATTCAAATGTTATACTATATATTTGTTTTCATTTTTATAGATGTCAGTCAAAACTAGAGATAAAGCCCATGGATCATTTACAAATCAGAAATTGTTCTTCAAAGTTGAAGATAAAGGAGCAAAATATTTCACTCTATCTTCTTGATTGTTACCAACTTTCTTTTTGTTATGGACTTAAAGTTTGTTAATAAATCTTTTTTATCCATTTACATAATTTTTTAAAAATATTTTGAACAAAAAATATTTATTTTAACAATATTTATTTAAAACACTCTAGTATTACAGAGTTCTCTCTAGGAATAAAAAAGGGCAGGTTGCTTTCTCACAGAAAAGAGCACTTAGAATTTTGAGAGGGCTTGAGTTTTTCACTTAACATCTTAAAAGTTTATCAAAATGTGTAATATTGTGCAATAACTAAATTTATTCTCTGCAAATTTTAAATTCCCTTATACTATTTTATGTGCATATTTCAAAAAGTAATTCTCATTCATTATCAAAATAAGAGAAGAATTTGCAGTTTATAAAAAGTAATTTTTTAATTACTTTGTAAACTACAAATTCTAATCATCTTATGATCGTTTTTTAGTATGTTTTTACATAGAAAAAAACGATCACTGTGCACGAACTTTTTTCATAAAAAAGTTGTTGTTTTTTAAATATATATACTGAAAATTATGAGAAAAAGAACATTTTAAGGTGTATTATTTTTAAAAGGTATTTATTTAAATATATTTCTTTTTTTCCATTTATTTATTTTTTGAAAATTATTCAAACCTACCTTTATAAAGAAAAAATTTTCATGTGACGCTCATACATGTGCTTAATGATGTAACCTAGTTTTTTGCGTTAAAAAAGTATGCTTTATTTTTTCTAAATTTATCAGCTGTACATCTGCAGAATCTGTTGTAAAAAATGAATTGCAAAATATTTGTGAAAAAATTATTAAATGTTAATAAAATGGAACAATTTAAATGTAAAGCTTTGTTATATATTTTTATTTTTTATGAGTAAATTTAAGTTTTGTATTTTTATTTTTATGAGTAAATTTAAACAAAAAGTTATGTATTTTTATTTTTTATTAGTAAATTTAAACAAAAATTCGATCAATTAAATTTCATCGAAATTTTCATTCATTAAATAACAGTTCTGTATGTTTGAAACATGTTTTAGTCAAAAAGATGGGACACTTTACAAGTCTAATCATTTTGCGATCAATTTTTAAAAAAAAAATTCAATAATATATTCACATTATTAAGTTTTGAAGCATTTTTTAATATTCATTTTCCTTGTGCATGTATGCATATGCTAAACATTCAGTAAAATCTTCGTCATTCAATTCACTCAACTCTCTCCCTTGCATATCTCTGGGACTGGCACATGACCCTGCTACCCAGCCTCTTTTTGTACCCAAGATCCAGGCCATTCTGCAATCACAAATCAATGGGTTTCCTGAAAAAGAATTTTTTTTATATATAGGTCTTTTGTGTGTGATTTGATAAAAAACACATACCTTGTGTGTGATTTTCTGCATTAAAATATATCATATAATTTTTATCTTACTTTCGTTACTATATGCTTCATACATTTACAAGCAATTCACTTCTTCTTAAATTTCTTTTCCAATAATTGTGTAATAGGATACAACTTTATCAAATATAGAATTTATTATTGTGCATATTTGTCATATTATGTGATAATATAAATTTTAAATTATTTCGCTATTTTTTTTTAGTGTATACTTCTGTCTTTTTTACTAATGTATATTAATTATGCTATTAACAGATTTCCCCCCCTAGAAATATAAAAGGGCACAGTGGGTTTTGAAAGATTACTCACTTACCACCATTAAAACTTAGTCAAAATATGTAATATTATGTAATGACTGAATTAGATTCTAAATTTTTTAACTATCCTCTTATACTATTTTATGTGTATATATCACAAAATATTTATTTTCACAAAATATTATAATATTTCACAAAGTATTCAAATTTTCCTGTTATTTTGATAATGAGTTTTCACTCATTATCAAAATAACAGAAAAATTTGAAGCTTTGGAAAAATAATTAAAGTCAAGATAAAAAGACTATCTCTGTGTATAAGTATTTTTCAAAGAAGTTAAGTTAAAAAAAAGAAATTAAATTACATAAGTTGAAGGAAAAGAACTTAAAAGCTTTTTTATATTTTAAACTGAAAATTGTGAGAAAATAAACATTTAAAGGTGCATTTTTAAATAAAATGTATTTATTTAAAAAAAAAATAATGGTAGAATTTAAAAGCATTAAAAAGTTTATTAATTCCCCCCTTCCTCCAATTAAAAGATGTGAATATCACAGGAGCCGAATATCAGGTGAATTTTAACTATATAACTAGACAACATAAGAAAAAAATAACTAAAATGTAGGAATTGAATTAAAAATTAAAGTCAAATAATTATCAATAACTAAATAAATCAGAATTGGACTTTCCATTAAAACAGGTGGTTAAGAAAGCAACCTTTTCCTGAAAAAATAAAAAGGCAGTGTTTTTATGGAATGACGGCTTATTTTTATAAAAAGGGATTTATAGGAATCACTTTTATAATGTTACTAGTCCGCCTTCCCCCCCCCTGCCAAATTTGAAGAAATCAGACAGGATTACATTGTGTTCTTCTCTAACTTTCGCCCTTTTAGCATGATGGAAAAATTTTAGAAAAATTACATAATAAATAGTTTTAAATATTTTTTTTAAAAAAAAATGGAGGATTACTTCATGTTGAAATTTTTTTCATTTTCTTTATAACGCTAAATAGAGATGGATTAAATTTTATCAAACATTACTGTTACAAATTCTCAACAGTTTAAAGAGGAACAGTATATTATTTGTTTAAAAGTGTTATTTCAAGTGATTAAAATTATACATAATTAATTATATTTTATTTTAATTTAGTTTTTACCAATTAATTATATTTTATTTTATTAATTATATATTATTAATTATATATTTTATTTTATTAATTATATATTTTCAAATTATACTGATTGTACTGAAGCATATTATACTACTACATACCATCTAGAAGAAACTTTTGTCTTATGACAGGCAAAAAAATATTTTCTGACAAAACAGTCAATCTGTTGTTGCTGAAGTTAATGTGACGCAAATAGGGCATTTCCACAAACAAGTCTTCAGGAATCGTCGATATGAAATTGTCGCTAAAACATAAAAGAAAATAGATAAGTAGTTTCCAAATGAAAAGGGCATCTTTTATTCTGAAATCCATGCAACTAGTCATGATTTTAACTTGTGCATAGAACAGCTAAAAGTAGATACGTGCAGTGTGCCACCCCCCCCCTCCAGAAAAAAATCCCAGACCATCCTGAATAACTTCTGATCTAATGATCGACTTTTCACGTTCCAGGACTCAATCTTAATGGCTCAAGGGGGTTGCGAAATCAGTCACAAAAACATACTTTCTCTGAATAAAGATACCTTTTCTCGACGGTTTCGGATCCCCCCCCCCAAATATAGGGGTAGTCGCAATAGTTTGGTCATTAGAAGTTAATTTGGTTAATTTTATTGCGCGTTTTTCTATACTTTGAGGACTTTTTAAGCGAATTGAAAAAATTTTACCATAGGTACTAGAGTTAGAAATAAGCCTAAAATCAGACTTCTTTGTGGAAGAGGATTTTAAAATCATAAGAATCACTAACTGCAGAACAATCTCAAAGAAAAGAGCAGAATCATATTAAAGAATGTAATTTTATATGACAAAATACAAAATTAGAACATAATCGGTCGAATAGTTCCTGAGAAATCGAATTTTTAGAAATTCACATTCTCAGGAACTATTCGACCGATTTCGCTCTCAAATTTCGTATTTTGCCATATAAAATAACTATTCAAGTATTAGTTATTAAATAAAGTTATCCAGGTTTTTTTTTTTTTTTTTTTTTTTTTTTTTTTTTTTTTTTTTTTTTTTGCTTATTGTACATGTCGACACATTTATTTTAACAATCTCGGTTAAGTGCAGTATTTAATTTTTGAAGACTAGAATTTCAAAATGTTGTAAGTGTCATTTTTAATTAAAAGAATACTATTAAAAATTTTACTAAAATACATTTATAAATAAAATTCCAATTCGGTGAAGAAAAATAACTAATTTCTCTGGGAATTTGTTTATTGTAGATGTGCTAGTTACTCTACATTTCTGTTTCCGTTCTCTGGATATCCAAATCTTTGAATTTTTCCCTGAACACCTCAGAGCATCCCCTTTTTTAGCATTAATCTTAAATTCTCTGTAAGTAAATCTTACAATTACAAGTTAATCTTACAATCCTCTGTAAGTGTAATTTGCAATATTGCATAATAAAATTCTTGAGCAAAACCCCTGATTATTTTAAGCTTTCTTTTAAAGAGTACAAAAATTACTTAGAAAATTGCTTGGAACTTTTTACGTTCTTAAGATATTTAAATGAGATTTTTTTCCATTAATCTCCAAATACGATTCACAACAAAATTAGGAAGAAAAAAAAATTTTTTTTTCTTCCGTGCATGCACAATACAAAAGAACTACATTAAATACTCATATCTTGCGCATTTTTTAAAAAAAAATTTTCTTCCAATTTTAAAACATAATTTTGTAACTAATTTTAAATTCTTCCAAAAATTTTGTTTAATTTTACTGAATACTTTTAAAGTTATTGCAAAAAAACATACCACAAAAAAATTAGCTTTTTTATAAAAATGTTCATATATCCATACATATTTAAGCTAGATATACGAAAATTTATGCAGTTTTTGCAAACAACAACTAAAGTATTTGAAAATGGTGCAGTATTTGAAATGGTGAAAAAAAATGGCGAAGCCATGTATTAAAATAGTTTAACTAGCGATAATTTACTTGAAAAAAAAATAACTGTTAATAATCAATTATTTTTTGTCTTTTAATAAAATTGATTGGAAATTTTTTTACATTTTCTTAAACTGCAATTTTAGGTAGAAAATGTGAACAAAATTAGTTGAATAGTTTCTACGAAGTAAAAATTATTAAGGATCAAAACAAAACAGTACTTCATAAATACTCTTATAAATTTTTGTTTTGAACTATGACTGCAAGTGATATTTAATGCCAAATAAATGTTTGTTGAATGTATTAAAAAATTCATATTAAATTCTTATCTTTATTTATTTTTTAAAAAAAAGCATACTCACTTAAATACCATAAAGTTAAGTTTAGATGGCTTTGGAAACATGCTTCTTTTCAAAACAGTGAGAGAATTTTTTTGAACATCAACCATCTGCAGGTTTGGAAAATGCTGAAACTCGTCATAGTTAAGATTTCTCAAGTTACAGTCTTCAAAGACAATATGTTGCAAGCTCTTGGTGACCTCTTTAAAATGTGTCAGACTCTCTAGAGAAATTCTTTTCAAACGTAATGTTAATAAGTCTTTGAGAGCTGAAAACTGTCTCCAGTCCCAACTCCCCTGCAATCGGACCTGAAATAACAGGATTTTAGGACTTAGAAAAAAAAATTTTTTTCTAAAAGAAGCTGCTAGATTGTGAAGAGGCTTCATATGTCTCACGAAAATCCTGAAAAACTCAGCGGATTTAAAATCAGTTTAAAAAATTCTGTAGAAAATTAATATTACTTAAAGCATACAAAAAAAAGAGAAAAATCTTTAAAATATGAAATTTTAAGACTTGTTTTTACTTTTTTTTAAAATGAATTTTTTACTTTTATCCTTCTCTCAAAATTTGTAACTTTCTCAATGTAAATTCGTTCGTTATGTTGATCCGTATAAATGTCTATCTGTTGGTGTTCATGATGTTATTTCCATTAACTTTTTCCGACGCAGCGTGGAACCACTTACTCCAAAAATATTGCGAACCTCAAGAAATGAAGAACTGTTTGTTTTTAAACGACCCTCGTTTATTTAGTTTGTTCGTATTTTCGACTATCTGCACTCTACTCGGCCGAATGTCCGTTCCATTGATTGCACACCCCGTCAGTTCCCGACACAGTTTGTAACCACTTATTTCAAAAATATTTCGAAGTACAAGAAATGTAAAACTTTTATTTTAAACGACTATTTTATATTATTTACATTAAATAATATAAAATAGTCGACTATTTTATATTATAGCACTAAAAAGACTGAAACTTAGTATATACTTATATTGCCAAAAGCAGTCAAAATGACTGGATTGTAAAAGAATAAATAATGTGTAAAGAAATTTCTTTAAAATTAATTTTTATTATTTTTGTATTATTTACAGTTATATAACAAGTTATTAGTAAATATTAACAATAAAAAAATTATATGTTAAGATATAATTGTACAACAGTTGTACAAAATTCTAAGAAATTGTTACTAGCGGTAGATTAGTACAAAGATGTGAAAGATGCAGAAAACTGCATAATTTACAATTGTCCACAGATTGCATTATAGTCACATAACTTTTACCTGATACCGTTTTCATTGACCTTATAAATTTGCCTTTATAGTGTTTTACAGTATGCTGCTTACAAAAAATATGTAAGGAATGTTCGGCATTTCTCCTTTTCGGAGATCCATAAAAATAGTCAAACTATCTTGGACACCAGTGATGGTTAATGAACTGTGAAAAATGGACACTTTTGGCTTTTTGTTTATAAAAATACCTAATATATTAATTTATAGGTAAACGGAGAATACCAAATGTTCGAACTTGGACTTAGATTCTGGAATTCTAAGGTGGTCTTATAGTTATTTCCAGAACTTGCGAGGAAAGCAACGACCTATCGAGAAATGTTCTGGACTATGAAGAAAGCTGTATCCTGCTGTTGGCAAATTTTTATAAAATTTTTTTTTCCTTCTCTTTTAAGGCATTGTACATGTTTTCTTTTCACTATCTGTGTTGCCAGTGACTTTAAGCAAAATCCCCTGGCATCATAGAATCAAATGGAAAGAATTAAAGCTGTATCCTGCTGTTGGCAAATTTTTATAAAATTTTTTTCTTCCTTCTCTTTTAAGGCATCGTACATGTTTTCTTCACTATCTGTGATGCCAGTGGCTTTGACCATAATCCCCTGGCATTAGAGAATCAAATGGAAAGAATTAATGTAGCACTCTAACTGTTGAAAAAGCTTCTATTGAAACTTAATAAATTTTTTTTACTGTAATGCTTAGTAATTTTTTCAAGACGCAATTATTTGCTTGAATGAAGATTTTTATTTATACTCAAGCGACTCTAATTCTAGCTTTTAATATTCAAGATTTTTTTAGGTGATTTATAATAAAGTCTTTTTTTGAAAATCTTTAAAAAGTTGGAAATTATTTAAACTCAAGAGTTTGATATTGTTGCTTATTAACTCGACATTTTTTTCATGCTCAATAGATTTTATTGCTATTTTTTTCCGTCAATATTAATATGCGTTTTTCTACATTACGTTGCTATGTGTATTATACTTTTTAGGAAATATTTTACGGTTATGTAAAGAATTTTTTTTCTTGAAGTTCTTTGAAAAACGCTATGAGGAAAACGTGTGATTTGTATTATTAGTAGTAATAGTTATATTAGTAGTAATTTAAGAACGTAACATTTACTAAAATGCTATTGCAGAGATTCTCAGAGGGGAAACTGAAATTTTTTTGTTTGGGGGGGGGGTACTTGTCAAAAAAAATTTGGGTCAAGTATTTCCAAGAGGAGCGTTAAAGGGTCTTGATAATTTTGATTTCATCTAGGAGGAAGTATTAATGTTGACTTTCATTTAATTTTCTTTTGAGCTAAAAGTTTAAGGGAAAAAATTTACTGTGACGTCCTGCGGGCACTATAAAAATCATAATAACCATATTAATGACTTGAAAGAACTTTTAATAGCTAGTCAAATATACTCTTTTAAAACCCATTCTAACTCAAAGAAATTGAAAAATAAAAAAGTATTTTTTTTAAATTAAGAAAAACTTGACTTTTTGGATTTTTATTAAAAAAAAATTTGTTTTGACCTCAGAGAAAAATATAAAATATTTTAACATTATTCAAGTACTAGCCAGAATTTAAGCCTCATAAGATACTACCAATCGCCAAGTTTTAATTGCATAGGAATAATAGTTTTAATTGCATTGCGTACTTTCTCTGAATAAACATATCTTTTTTTCGTCTGATTCGGATTTCAGACTCGAAAAATATGATCTCAATAGTTTGGTTAGGAGAGCGCTCTAAAGTTTAGACCCCTTACTGTTAATTTTACTTTTTGCGTATTTCGCTATATCTCGAGAACTATGAGAGAAGAGGAGGAAAGGGAAGGGTCAGAACATGGAATCAGACTTCTCCCCAGATGGCGTATTCGAGGGTTGCGATCGTCAATAAAGCGTTCAAAATCCCTCAGAGAACTGTGACACATGATGTATTTTGAATAATTTAAAGACATAATTATAGAAAAGTGTCAGAACAAAAATATTAAAATGGAATTTTTTTAATTATAATTGTAAAGAGGTTGAGACTTTCGTGACTTACAAAGTGGACGGTGATTCGAAAAATGTAGGAAACATATGTTCTAATACTACATACCTGTTCCATCCAAAGTACTTGTACTTTTGGCTCAGCAGGTATCTCTTCAAATAGCCTCTCGAAAGCATTAAACGAAATTTCTAGTATTCGGAATCCATAATTGAATACTGATTTAGGAACGTATTTCAGCTCAGATTCTTTTAAAGAAAACTCTCCAATTCTATACTGATTTACGCGGTTCAGAATTACAGTAATTTTTTCTTCCGAATTCAAATGACGACAGCCGATATGGCCATAGTAAGAGACATTTCTGCAGTGGCACGGAAACACATCTTCAGGAGGTGGGCATCGGGCATGCTGGCATGTAACGCACAACAGGGAACAATATAAAATCAATGCAAACAAAAACAACTTCGAATCTTTGTTTTTGTTATCCATTTGGACTAAGTGAATTCGAAACTAAAACCAATTAAGAATCAAAGTTAGATACGCGAGTGCAGTTACTTGTACTCTACATAAAGAACATGTTTAAAGATAATTGAGTGAATATAATTCTTTAAATCTATTACGACCGATAACGTAAAATATTGCCTTTCACAATTAAATAAAAAAAAAAATGATAACGTATCAGAAAATCAGCAGTCGTCAGGAAAAGTTTCCGTCTGGAAAAAGCTTTGATCGTTTTTGAAGAAATACATCGTAACTTATTGCTGACTGCTAGTCTAGGGGTGAATTTTACGTCTGAGTGCCCACCGAAAAATTTGTTCTCCGTTTTTTTTTTTTTTTTTTTTTTCATGATTAAAATTATTTTTATATATTTATATTTAGTATGTTGACGATATTTACAAAATATTTTTGGACAAATACGTAAATATAATGAGTTAAGTGCTGAACAAAAATCTTCCTTCAATATCACGCAGGATTTTAAAAAGAAATTTACAAGACTTTTTTAAACTCAAAGATGTTAGGAATTTTCTTTTAATTCTTAAGTATTTGCTATGCTTACAAATTTATTGGGGGAAAAAAAAACTTTTTACTATGCATGTAAAACACATTAATTTTTGCAGAAGTTTGGGGAAAAAAAACTTTACTCTGCTTGTAAAACATACATTGTTAATTTTAGCATGATCTACCTAATTTAAATTTTTTTAATTATTTTATTTTGTAGCGATTTCTCCAGTGTTTTTTTTAACAGATTTAGTTCGACGATATTTTGAATTATTGCTTATTATATTGTATGTATATAACAGGATCTACAGGACTTAAATCACTTTATTTTTTAAAAAATTGACTAATTAAACGGCAAAAAAATCATTGATTTAAGTTCAAAATATTTCTTATCAGTTTTATTTCATTAATATTGATGTTTTGATAGACTAATAAAAATTAGAAAAAAAAGGAGACCCATTCTAGATAAAAATGACCGAAATTAAAATTTTAATTTTTCTTTTGTTTTATGCAAAATAATTATTTTAATATAGTTATTAATTGTATCCAGTTAGTTTTATGTTTAATTAAATTAAATACAATCACTTTTAAACTTGTTTGTAATTAAAATAAAAATAAAGAAAGCTTGTTCGAACAAAAATTAAGAATTTTTTAAAAAATGTTTTTTATCTAAATTTTATTTTTATATGATATTAAACTCGAAAATGAAGTTATCTTTACAACTTACTTTGTTTTCTCAGGGGCGTTGAGCTTATATAAAAATAACTACGATTTTCTTTTATTCAGAGATTAGTTCGTAATTATATAATAATCTTAACTCGTCACGATTTTAAATATTAAGTGTTTTAGTTATAATATTGTGTTTAGATAATATTAAGCATTACTAATCATTTTATAAGATCTTTTATTGGTAAATAAATTAAAAATCTAAGTCTGATTTATAAAAAAATCAAATTTGATTTTTATTAAAATGAATCAAGTCCTGATAAATTCAAAAAAATCATAAGATTAATCATGATCAAATGAAGAAAAATGTATCTTTTTATATTAAGATTTGATCCTGATTTTTGCCATCCATTATCTAGAATAACGTAAAACTGCACTGCTCAAAACAATTAAGGGATATTGAGGGGTTGATCTTGCACCTGGAGAATTGCTTGAATGATTAATACATTATGGACAGACGTAGTAGGCTATATAAGATTAAAATGATATTTATTTGGCAGGAAAAATACGTTTTATTCAGCCTTTTGTTACAAAAGGAAAAAAACAAAATTTGTGCACATGAGAAAAACAAATAAAAAGGTGTTTCCTTAAAAGAAAATAGTTTTTAGTAGGGGGTAGGGCTTCCCTGGACGACTAGCAACGTTGAACACCTTTGAGGCATCGAGCCAATGAAGTTATTAATGAAGGGCTGGGGTATTCTGCATCATTCCTCCAGAAGAGCTCTTTCCAGTAGTTGGAAGCTTGTGGGGAATCCAGCAATTAGTCTGCCTAGAATGTCCCAAACATGCTCGATTGGGTTCATGTCCCGAGAACACCCTGGCCAATCCATTCGTATGATTCCTTCCACCAGAAGGAAATCACTCACCAAGTTAGCACGATGTGATCTGCAATTGTTGTCCATTAACATGAAGTCATCTCCGACTGCTGCAGATTAAGGGACCACAATAGGTCTCAGATCTCATCCCTATATCGGCGATCGGTCCGAGTTTCATTTCGAATGATCTGGAGATAGGTGCGCCCATCAATGGAGATGCCAATATGGACCATCACTCCACCACTGCCAAATCTTGCAGTTGTTTCTAGTGCCACGTTCTCTCTAGATGAAAAGATGCCTATTATCAGGATGAACAGAAAAACTAGATTCGCCAGACAAAAAAACCCACTCCCTCATGCGGGAGCGACGTCGCCTTGCTGTTAACGTTACACGCACAATTGGTCGGCGAACATTCAGACCTACAAAGTGAAGGCGGTATCGGACAGTTTGTTCCGAAACTGTGGTACCAGTAGCCAAGCGAAGGTGTTGTTGAAGAGTGGCATTTATATTTCAGTGTCTCCGAGCCGTTAGTGTTAAATAATGGTCTTCGTTGGGCGTTGTTGCTCGTTTGCGCCCTTGCCTTGATCTTCAACCTGTATTTCCAGTCTCCAAAAAACAGTTTCAGATTCTGGAAATCACACTTTGTGAAACTCCAATGGCTTCTGCTACTTCAGCTTGTGTTTGGCCCCCCTCTAGCCGGCCAACAACTCTCCAAGCTTCTGATTTGGTTAAATGACTTCGTTGAGACATCGCACTCATCGAAACAACGCGCTTACTGAATGTCGATCATTCTTTTCTACTTTGTCTTACATTAAGTTCAAAGCCAAATCAAATTTGCTGCGGCTAAAGCGTCGTCTTCGAAGTCAAACTCAAAATTTGCTAACTGCGAAGTTTGAAAATAAAAATTTGCATTACTACTCTCTTCTTCCATTTTATGAAAAGAAAATTGCTTATACCGTTGTTTTATACCAGACTTACAATATCCTTTAATTATTTTGATCAGTATATATTATTATCTATCAATTTGCCAGTAATGGTTTCAGGGTAAAGGAAATTTTAAAATTTTTAAACTACGAAAGATATAGCTCCAATATCCAATAATCGGAAATGATTTGTAGTTAAAATTGTTTTTTCTTTCTTTCTAATTTGTATTCCAAATAAGCTGGGGAAATTTTTTTTAACAGCAAAATGCAGAATCGACATAAAACGCTCTATCGCAAAAGTGGCAAACTACTTTTTTAAAATTATATGTATGACGCCCGGTGGCTGAGTGGTAGCGCTTAGCGCTCCCGTCACAGGTCCTGGGTTCGATCCTCGGGCAGGACAAGATTGACTCAGCCTTTCATCCCTTCAGTGGGTCGATAAATGAGTACCAAGCATGGTTGGGAACTAAACACTGGGGCTCCGCTTTCAACTGACCACCTAACCGGAACATCTGCTCTCGCACCCCAAGGCCAAGAAGACTGAGATGGGCACAGTAGGCCTTGGCCCTAGTTTGATCTAAGAGTCTGAGAAGTTTCTTATATTATCATTCGTTAAGCAAGCAAAAGTTATTTTTTTTAAAGATCAAAAATTAATTTATTGAAAATTACACCATTTTCTACAAAGTATATTCTTACGAGAGACCAGCCTTAAAACTGGCATAAAATGTTAGCCGTACAAGTGAATTACATTTCAGCAGTTGAAGTTTTCTTCCTCCAAGTGTTTTATTTCTTTTCCTTTCAAATGTTGAGGTGCATCACACTTTCCTTTAACCATTTTGATTTCCAAAATCCATTTCATTTCGCAGTCACATTTCAATGGATTTCCTGCAAGATTTGTTTGTAGAAATGTTAATCAAATATATTACAGTCAATACGCACTCCTATTATTCAAATATTCCTTCGAAACTGCTTGCTCCAGATTTAAATTAATCGCTTTAGTTTTTTAGGACATATTTTTTTTATGTAATATGCCACTTATTTAAATTAAGCATTATGGTTAGCGTCTCGGTATTCGGGGTGACGAGGCATATTACAGATTTAACTTTTCTGGCGATGTCATTTGTTTTCGTATTTAGAACTTATAACAATAAGGTGAGTTTCGAAGCGTCTTACAATGTAAATTTACGACCACTAGTATAAATTTATAGCACCAGTAAAATCCGCTGACTTTTAAAATCTTTTCAAGTTCAAGAGGTTTCAACTAAAGGGAGTTTAAGACAGAATCAAATGCTATAACCATTTCCTTTAATAGCTGCATCCATTTTCTTGAAGACGCATCTCGGAGCTTTGTCCAGATTTAGAAACTCACCGGCAAAAAGTTATTAGCTACAAATCATAGAAACTAAAAAAATGCAATGAGATTTTCTCAATGATGCTTATTATTAATGTTGACCTTAATAAAACAAATAAATAAACCACATAAATAAAACAGAACAGATTAAATTATTTAAGAACAAAAATTGTCTTAATCCGAGGAAAATCATCAGAAAAAAATGAACTTCGCATTTTGTCTTCAAAAGATAGCTGATTAAATGTGTTCTCATTGATTGTATCTCATTCTCGCCTAGGCGTTATAAACTAAATCTGGAGCGCAAGGAGAAAAATAAGAATGAAGAATGGTTACTTTGGCTCTTTATTGTCTTTGGAATCAAACAAAATTCTATATCAAAAGGGAGGAAACTAAATGTTTTGAAACTTAAGATGTTTAAGGTTCCTTAAATCTTATAATGGCTCTTTATAATGACCCTAATCGGATAAAATTCCATTCCAATAAAAGATATTACTCTAATCATAAAATTCAAATTACGTGCATATAAAATTGTTCTCAGACAAATGCTTACTATCTAATGCAAGATTTTGTCTTTCAGAAATACTTCGGGCAAAACCTTTAGAAATTTTTAAAAGCCTATTATGGTCAGACCATACCAAATATTTTTAATACACTTTCAATTCCATTTGTTGTCAAATTCATTTTGTGAAACAAATTAAATTACGTGAAAAGTAATTTACCTTGCAGAGAAAGAACTGGATTCAAAACTGGTTTCAGAATTCTCTCTGAAAGAACTGTCAGGTGATTTTGTTGAAAATCTATAACAATTAGATCCTTCATGCCTTCGAACAAATTTTCTGGAAGCGATGTCAAATGATTGTTTCTGAAATAGTTCAGACATAATATAAAAAATTAAAATTATTAAACAGTGAAAAATGCAAGGTATACACAGAGCAGGGATAAGTCTGGGCAAGTTTTACCAGTCTGGGGGCCGTTTTAGCCCAGTAGTTAGAGAATCTTACTCCAGTTCGGAGGGTCTGGGGTTCGATTATTGACTCCGATAAGACTCAACGAGTTAATGCGATGTACGTGCTGGTAAAATCTGTGAAATCGAGAGTCCTGTGGTAGGTGCCTGAGCAGTACGATGGGTACAGGAATCTGGAGAAAATTTCCTTCCCCTTCAGATCTATGTCTAAATTGAGGAAGTGATCTCACAAATTGTGATAGCATCATGTCTTCGGATAATCCTCAGGGAGGTTTTCCAGATCGTCTCCAATAGCCCATTGTGCAGCTCTAGTGCGACGTAACTGAAGTATCTACCTTTATCAGTTTGGAAAACTCGGAACGAATTTAATCAGTCTGGAAAAGTTTGGGAAATGTCAGGAAATTTAATTAAAGTACACCAAAAGTCGGAAAAATTAAGGTTAAGGTGCAAGAAGTAATATTTTTCAAAAAAAAAATTTAAGAATTTTTTTTATGGAAAAATGTTTAACACTTTTACCTGTCATTAAAGTTGAAACTAAAGTTTATAAATACCTATAATATATAAATACTGCATATTTTATGTACGGGAAATAATTGCAGAATAGCAGCAATTAAATAGCACTGTAAACATGTAAGTAAATTGTTACAAATTTTGGAACGCGTTGAAACAAATTACGTTGTGTAAATTGACTGCAACCTTACTATGATTACGAAACTTAATATTGAGCAAATTGAATTATCTAAAAGTTAAGTACACGAGTTTGCTCGTGATTGCTCAACTTGATCGGAAACAATTTTTGATTCAACACATAATTAAAGGATCAACGTTAAGCTGATTTTCCTGAAAGTATTAGGCAAAATACAAGAAAAAATTGTATGAAAAACTAATCAAAATTGTTGATTATTCAAAGTGAAAAAGCTTTAGGTCGGCTGCTGGCAATCAATTTCTCCCAAGAGATACCAAGAAAGCAACTTCTAATTTATAATAATGTGCTTCATAATTTCTATAAAAGGGAAATAAAATGAAAAGGGAATTTGCAGTAAACTCTCGGAGTCGGAATTGGCAAAAAACAGAAACGATGTGGCATACTCAAAGTAAAGAAATCGAAGATTTATTAACTACTTCCGAAAGATCAATTATATGTCTCTGGGAATGAGGATGTCTCCTAAGGAAAGAAATAGCACAAGGGAAAAGGATGCTGGCAAAAATTGATATAAATTAGATTGTTTCGTGTACTAATTTTAAGCATGATTTTGAAAGTTCTTTTATTTTATAACCGTAGTTGAAAAGCCGACCCAATTGAGTTTACGGTTACTAAAGTTCCAATCCGTAGCTTTGAAATTTTGATACCTATCCAGAAGACAAAGGAACTGCTGAATCAAGTATTGGGAGAAATTTTCTAATGTTACATATTTTTGTTTTATTTTCTTGTTTGTCTCTTTTGTCTTTATTTTTCCTTTTTTCCACCATTATTCTCTTTATTCCACCATTATTTTTTTCATAGCTGTTGTTAAATAGCCGACCCAATTTTTGGGTTTCTGACTTCGAACTTCCAACTCCGTTACCTTGTAATTTTGAACCCAATCCAGAAGACAAGGAAACTCCTGTTTCGAGTATTGGGATAAATTTACCTTCGTGGAGGACTTTTTGATGGAATTAGCCAGCATTAGATGGAGAAGGAAACTACGAAAATCTCCCACGGTTAGCCTGACTGCAAAAGAACTCTTGACCCACAATCCCTCTACCACTGAGGATATTTCAAGTCACCACTGTGATCGGTGCAAGCCGGATGCGGAATTCGTATCGACCCGCCTTCGCTGGGATTCGAACCCGGTTCGCATCATTCGAAAGCGAACGCACTTTCCCCTGAGCCATCACGGCTCTAAAATATTTTTTGAAGAAAGTTTTTCAAATTTATTCTGGTACTACAGTCCGCGTTGGACCACGAGCTCTTTAAAAATTCTACTCGAAAGCCACATGTCTCATGTTTTCGCTTTCCGTATGTATATGTCCTCACTGGAAAACAGGATGTTACGTATGCATGTTGTCTCCGGATTATCATCAGGGATGTTTCCCAGATCGTCGCCAAAAGCCTATTGTGCAGCTCGAAGTAGAAGTGCCGTAGCGTTAAGGTCTTTAGGTCTCCTTTCGTGCTTTTCTCAAATGCATCTTTTTAAATCTATTCTGGGTTAATTGAAAGTAGTATCTAATGGTTAAACAGAGGCATAAAAGTAACATTACGTACTGTTACGGAGTTAACGTGTTGCAAAATAAGTCTGAGGGAGAATAAAAATGAATGAAAGATCCTCAGAGTCGTAGAACCAGTAGTTATGCTAAAAAAGGATTAGGGATCCCTCTCAGGGAAAAGACCTCTTCAGAAATCCAACAAATTCTTAAATTCATTGTTTCATTGATAAATAGATTGACAGGAAACTCAAACTTACCGGAATATCAGAATTCGTAGTTTAGAAGGAGTTGGGAACATACTCCTTTTCAACTCCTTCAGTCTGTCATGCCTGATATCGATCATCTCTAGTTGCTTAAATTCTCGAAATTGGTCAACCCGCAGTTCCCTTACGTCACAACCATGCAAGACAAGGTGTTTTAAAGATTTCGAAAAATGAGTGAAGTTCTGAAGACTTCCCACAGACATCTTTCTCATTCGCAATGTCGCTAACTTTTCCAGTGGAGATATTATTTTCCAATCCCATTTTCCATCAGCTATTCTCACCTTCAAACAGAATATAAAATATGTACACACATCTCTATAATAATAGAAGAGACATTTTTTGAAATGTCTCAAGAAAAGAATTTCTTTGTAACTTTAGAGATGTTTAGTACATGCAAGTTTTCAGAGATTTAAGAAACCGATATTATAAAACAAATATTTTTGAACACCCTATACCAGAAAAATCAAGCAGTTAGCATGTAATTTGCATCGATTGCTTTGGTTATTTACAATAACTGCATAAAATTTCGTAAACTTCGTTTACATATTTACGGAAAAATGGACATTTAACCCTTTCGCGCCGACTGTCACAAATACGTGACAGCAAAAAACCGTATCAATCAGGGTAAGAAGATAAAACTGGTAATCAAAGTAAGTCTTTAGCAGTTTATTTGTGGGCGGAGTTATAATTTTTCGATTTATTTAATTCACCATTACTTTGTTCGAAATAAAACTATTTAGTTATACTTTGATCATATATATAATCAATGTTTATTCAAACTAACAATAATTAAAATAAAAGCAAAGTAAGTCTGTCAAATTAGTAACGACTACATTTAAGTTACCGTTTTTTATTTAATTGCAACTTGATTCTGATTTTGTACGAATGCTTTTCTGAATCACCCGTCCCCTAGGGGTTAAAAAAAAACTAATTTTTGTATTACATGTTTTTGCTATAACTTGAAAAATAGTCAATAAAATTAAAAAATAAAAATTTTTGGAGCAAAATTTTTTCAAAATATTTGGTAAAAACTGCGCAAGATTTGAGTATTTAAAGTAGCTCTTTTATACTACCCATACGCGAAAAAAAAAACTTCAAAAAAATTCATAATTTTGTAATGAATCGTATTTGACAACTAATAAAGAAAGGTAAAATTTCAATATCTTAGAAATTTAAAAAGTTTCAAGCAATTTGCTAAGTAGATTTTGTACTTTTCGAAGGAAAACTCAAAATTCGATTGATTTTTATTCGACCGATTTTGGCATGTAAAAGTAAGTTCTTTAAAATGATGTAATTATCTTTGGCTAAACGAATTTCATAATTGTGTGCAAAAGTTTTTCAATTAGTTTAAAAATTAACTCTAAATGTAGTGAAATATGCAAAAAGTAAAATTAACATTAAGGGATCCAAACTTGGGACGGTTCTCCTGTCCAAACTATTGGGGCCATATTTCTGTCCTAGATGACTGTAAATATTTGATATATTTTTAGTGTCAGAAATTAAATCATAAATCCGTTTTTGTTTCTAATTTTGCAACTTAAATTATCGTCTGCATTAATGAGTTAGCATATTTGAGGTCACTCCCTCAAAAGCATTAAGATTGAGTCGTAGAATGCGAAGATCTGAACATTAGATCAAAAGTTATTCAGGTTGGTCCGCTTATTTTTTTTTTTTTTGCGCAATGTACTTAAAGTAAGAAATTTGAATGGCGTTATGAACTAAATCTGGCGCAAAAGAGGAGAAATAAAAAATAATGGTTACTTGAACTCTTTATTGCACTTAATAGTTGGTATAAATCAGTGGAGTTGCATTTTTATTGTAATTTATATAAATTTTTAGACATTTTCTAGACATTTACACAAATCTTTAAGGCTAAAACATTTTCCCTCTTTTCAAAATTTAATATGTACAAAACATGAAGATTACCACTTATGTAAGTCTACGCCACATTTTATGCTTTAACAATCGATGCATTAAAATCAAAAACGGAACCTTTAAGCAAATTCTTGTCTTGGTATAGACATTGACAGAAAAGAACTTTGGGCAAAAGGTTTTACTTTTTAAATTATGGGTTTACGAAGATATTAAAAGATTGCATTGAAACAGTGTAACATATTAAAAACGAAAGTGTGTATAAATATTGAGAGGAAAAATCAGGACAGAATTTAAAAGTTTAAAAATTTCTAATTTTGAGTAAAAATGCATAAAACATATCTAAATATACACAATATATGTTACTGTGAATGACCGAAATTGGTGAATGTTGACAATCACATAGTCACTTTGTCTGAAATATATGCTAGGCCTAGTTAAGTGCTACTGTTCGGTATATATTTGCCCGGTATGCCCTACATCAATATTTTTCTAAGGTTCAGTGCCACTGCCCGATACTCCGAACACTGATGTTTCTCTAAATCTATCCTCAGCAGATATTAAAATATCGAATAAATATAATAATATCAACGAATAAATTAATATCAAATCGGATATAACAAATATTTTGGACATTTACCAAAGCGATTACGTGACTGTTGACATTTACCGGTGAATGTAGACATTCTCTTGATTTTAGTCATTCACTGTAACACATATATCAAAATTAGCTAGTTTTACTTCGTACAAAGAATTACTAACTCAGTTTCCAAATAATATTTAATTTGAGTTATATTAGACTAATTTAAAGTGGCTGTAAATCAGAAATTTTAATCAAACTGAAAGTAAAAATTTAAAAAAAGTTGTATAATTACCTCATTCAGCAACAAATGATCGATTTTATTATTCTGGGGAATGAATTCAAAAAGTTCTTCTGTGAGGACTGAGTGTGAAACCTCCAGCCACGTGAAGTTTCTTTCAAACATCAATCTCGGTATATACTTTATTTCCATATTTTCCATGCTCAGCCTTCTCACGTTGAATCCTTGGACTTCTTTTAAATAATGGGAAAATTCTCTGAAACATGATAAATTTCTGCACACAAGTTCTTGAAAATGGGGTCGATTTTCGAAGCATTCGCAAGCATCACCGTAAAAGCTGGGTTCAGAGCAAGAAACTTGAGATGGCTGTCTAAAGCATTCCACAAATACTGTACACAGTTGAAAAACAACGAAAGACAACAACAGCACCTTCATATTTAACAGTGATTTCACAAAAATTAATGTTTTCGGCACGTAAATCCAGCAGTGAAGTAGTTTTGAAATACTTATAACTCAAAAATTACTTTACAGTTACAGCGTAAAGGATTTCTTTTCCATAGGTGAGTTGTCCCGCTGTGAACTGATCGTAAGGACGCGGTTCCCAGTAGAACACCGGCATCACTGGCTGCTGTCAGTAAGCGAGTGGGTGACCACTTTGTCAGCCAGCGTAGGGACCGAGAATGCACGGTATAGGTTCTCGTTAAACTGTTCTACCGTAAAGTGCTCGACTTCGCACGCATGTGATTGGACTACCAAAGCAGGTGAGCCATCCCATCTGTAGAGAGTCAAAATTGCGATGTCATGTCTCCGGATCATCCTCAGGGATATTTCCCAGACCATCGCCAATAGCCCATCGCGCAGCTCTAGTGCCTACCTACCTACCATAGGTGAGCTGTTGTAGTTTATTAACGTCACATTAGAGCTGCACCGTGGGCTGTTTTCGATGGTCTGGAAAACATTCCTGAGGATGATTCGAAGACAGGCTATCATAATTTCAGTCATCTGCAAAGAGGATGGCACCCCTACTTCGGTACCACGACGATCTGGGAGCGAAGTCGAGCACTTTAAGGAAGAACAGTTTAACGAGGGCCAATACCGCACATCCTTGGTCCCTTCGCTCACTGATCCAAGTGTTCACCCACCGGCACACTGACCACAGCGCTAGTGATGCTTGACTTCGGTGTTCTACTGGAAAACGTGTCTTTACAATCAGTTACCCGTGGGACCTATAAATGAGTTAGATTTCAGTCACCCTTTGGATTATTAACCATTTCTTAATAATAATTAATAATTATTGTCATTTGGGTTATCTTTTCAATGACAGCTCTCTTTCAGATTGACCATATGTTTGCAAACATGTTGAGGCGTTTGAAAAAAATAGTTCTTAGACAACGAAAAAACAAGGTCGCGGGTGCTTGTCCCGATATAATTGAAGAACCTCAGGACTTACGCTCGAATAACATACAAGAGCTTAACTCAAGTCAGACAATTTTACATATTTAACTAAGCGCTAAGGTCCTATTCCTATTCTTGCGAGCACTGAATTTCTACACTGATTTCAGGCCAACTTGAGATTGCTGTCGCATTTAGTATTGCAACGGGTGGAAAAAACCCCGGTTTATTCCCATAAATAAACCGGTCTTTTTCAGGAAGGAAATTTTAAAAATTGCTGATTCTTTTATTCCTAGGACCTTAAGTTAGCATCCAAATCAATGAAATTACATTTTTCAGTGGCCGGGATAGCCTGGTCGGTAGGGCGCTGGGGCCCATATCTGAGAGTTCGTGGGTTCGAACCCCGCCGGCCGAAGACTCCCCATGTAGTAAAGTGACGGATGCACGTTAAATCTGTCGAGTCGCAAAAGTCCTCCATGCTCCCATAACAAATCAATACCTCTTGGGGTACTGGATTGGAGATCGCTCGTTCTCTGATTCAGGTCAAAATTACGATCTGTGGATGAATGAATGGCTGTATGAATGGATTCGCCCTATAAACGGTGCGACATATGGTGTGGCAGAAGTCGAATTCTTGGTCATAGATGGCGCCAATGAAAAATAAGAAACGCACACTCTGCCTTAAAATTTGCTCGGTTTCACCAAGCAACACATTTTTCAGTAGAAGTACCGGAAGCTTTTCGAAAGAAACCTAATAGTGAAACAGTTGATTGACTTGATAAATTGATTGATTTATAGACTTTTTAACTTTTTGCTTAATTTTTGATTGTTTAATTTGAAAAATAGCATTCTGCTTTATCTTATTTTTATAAGATAAAGCAGATTAGCAATTTATAAATATAAGAAAAAATTAGTAATCATAATATATATTTTTTGATGATAGTTTTGGAAAAAAAGTTAAATTATATTGTAATTAACAATGTAATTATATTCAATAAATTTTGTGCTAAACTTATAAACTTAAATATGCTTTCATATATATTAAATTAACTTTTAATAAAATACAGCAAAATTTAATAGATTAGCTAAGTGTTCAGAAAAAAAATGCATTGAAGTATATGAAGCTAATCGAATGCTACCTTTTTTATTGTATTACAGTTATTATACAGCATACATTAATGATTTTCTATTAAAAATAGACCAGTCTTTTTTTTTACTTTTAAATTCTCAATATTTTCCAAAATTCCAAGGTTTTTTTCCCGTCTTTTAAAAACTTTGTCTTTTTTTATATCACTGTCACAATTTCTACTGGAATTTCTTTTTTTAAGTCAGCAGGTTTTTTGACAAAAATATTTAAAAAACTGTCGGTCTAATTCAGGATGTGTGCTTGCTCGTGCGTGTTACATGTATACAAAATAGAAGTTTATTATTTTTTTTATTTTCTTTTTATTTTTTTAAAAGCCGACCAGGTGGTCGAGTAGTTAGCGTGCCTGACTGCGGAGCCGACGTTTGCTGGTTCGAATCCTGCTCACGGCATGGATATTTATTCCTCTCTCTCTGTGTTCTATGTCCTTTCTCACTGTTGCGTTTAGTAAACAGGACAAGAACAGGACCAGAAATACTACCGAATGGCTCTCATTCCACAACGTCCTCCATAATCACTCCTTCCTCAATAGTGATCCTGACTCACAACAAATGATTAACGAAGAAATTGATAACCTGATCAACATCATACAAGATGCATACAAAAATGCCTCATACAGCACTGAAATCAGGAACGATTATTATAAATTGCCATTCTACATTAAATGTCAAATTAAAATGAAGAATAAATTAAGGAAACTTTATCAGAGAACTCTGGATCCAAACATTAAAAATCAGCTAAATAACTTTAGCAAAAGCATAAAGAAACAAATCGACGAATTTAAAAAAGAAACCTGGAACGAAAAAGTCGAGAGTCTTACCACTCTGGACAAAACCGCTTGGAACATGGTACGATCTCTAAAGGCGAATAACACCACTAACATGCCACTAAATGGCCCAAATGGCAAGACTTATTCCGATAGTGATAAATGCGAGATTTTCGCAGACACAATGGAAAGACAATTTTCGCTCAATAATGATCATATTGATGCAAATTCCGATGACATTATCAGCAAGGCCGTCAAAAATTTCTTAAAAAATGACTATCATTTAACATCAGATCTAGCCACTGTGGAAGAGATCACCAGTATTATCACCAATTTTCAGAATAAGAAAGCTCCCGGTGCTGATAATATAAATAACCTCATGATTAAAAACCTCCCTCCCAACATCATCGAGCAGCTGCTAAACATCATCAATGCTTGCCTGAAACTGAAATATTTCCCACCAAAATGGAAACATGCTCAGGTTGTGCTCTTCCCTAAGCAGGGGAAAAATCTTCTAAATCCTGAAAGCTACAGACCTATTAGTTTGCTGACCGTATTTTCAAAAATTTTTGAGAAGATAATCCTCAACAGACTAAAGCCCCATCTCAGTTTTATCCCGGATGAACAATTCGGTTTTCGAGAACACTTATCCACCACTAAACAACTAGTGAGAATTATTGAGAATATTAACCAAGGATTCTTCAAAAAAGAAACAACAGCGCTCCTGATGTTGGATGTGGCCAAAGCTTTTGACCGAGTCTGGCATCAGGGCCTCGTATACAAGCTCATAAATTTCAATATCCCCAAAGATCTAATACTACTAATTAATAATTATCTGACAAACAGAACTTTTCATATTAAGATCAATACAGCATTTTCTTCCGCTAGAAACATTAAAGCAGGAGTTCCGCAAGGTTCAATTCTCGGCCCTGTGCTCTACCTAATTTATTCAGCAGACTTTCCAAATTTTAATAATATGAGAAACATCACCTCAGCCTTCTACGCAGATGATACAGCACTTATGAGCAGATCAATAAATCCCAAGAAGTCTGTTACTAATCTCAGTAATATCATACCTCATATCGAAGCCTGGTGCACAAAATGGAAGGTAGCCATCAACACCACTAAATCTTCACTACTAATTATTAGGAAATCAAGTAAAAAGAAAGTCATTTATCCAAATATTACTCTTTTCAATGATGAAATACCACTAGTTCGAAAGGCCACCTACCTAGGCGTCACTCTTACTAGTTCTTTAAACTGGAATACCCATATTGAAAATATTATTAGCAAAGCGCAAGGAGCCTATAGATCTCTGAAACCAATATTAAACTATAATTCAAAACTATCTCTCAAAACAAAACGAACCCTATACCTCCAATGTATTCGACCGATCATCAGCTACGCAGCCCCTGCATGGAGCACAACCACTGTTAGTCAAAAAAAGAAACTGGAGATCACTCAAAATAAATTCCTCAGATATATCACAGGAGCCCCCAGATCCATGAGAATGAAAGATCTAAGACGAGAGTTAAAAATCAACAAAATAGATGAGCACATAGCTGAACTATGTGCAAGTTTCTTCAGAGATGCACTCTCTTGTCATACGTGCAATTACTTTAAAAATTTTGATTTTGAGCTCATCAAAGACAACATAAAATATAGCCCGGCAACCGCCTTTTTCCTATCCGACGGAGTTTTGTCCCGTAAATTTTGTAAATAGCTGTAAATACTTGTAAATAATTTTGCGCATTTATTATGTATTTCTCCTTTTCTCTGAGACTATGTGGCTACTGTGCACCTGAGAAGCTCGGGGGTAATACCTCGAAGGGAGGCGAGGCAGTCTGCCACAAAACCTCTCCTCTCTCTTAAATTTGTTTGTTCAATCTCACTACTTCATTTTAATTTTCTCTCAGTAAAAGATACTAAACCCCAACTTTCACCTTTCAGTTGCGCTTCGGCGATTTATTATTTATTTCCACTCAGATGAATTAGTTGGAGCCCCTAGCGGGGCTGATGCTAAGATAACCAACACATATGAGATGAGATGAGATATGAGATGTCCTTTCTCCTTTGTGTGATTGTGGGAACGTGACCCGCCCTATAAACGGGTTTGTGGTCGTGTGACGTGGGCGACGCTGCTCCACCGCCGTGGCTTTGCCACTGGTGCCCACTGGGTAACGAGAAGAGAGTAGCAGCTCTGGCATTAGAGGCCAATGGGACAATAAATCCCAAGTGCCCAACATTAAAATTTTAATTTTTTTATTTTTAAAAATGCATTATTAATGTATTATTGTATTGTAAAATGTATTATCTAAAAAAGCTTCAAAATTCGAAAGATTAAAAAAATAATTCAGTTGAAGAATACTTCACATTAGTTTCAACACAATTATTTTAAAATAATTGAATCAAATTTTTTAAAGCATTTTTTAGCATAGTTATTTAAAATAATTGATTAAAAAAAAAACTATTTTTAAATAATTAGTTTATTGAAATTATTTACTTAAAATAATTCTACTGAGCTATTTTTAATTCTTTGGCAGTCTTTTAGGTATTTTTTAAAAATAAATGAATCACAGGTATAAATAAAAAGTCACAATTAATTTTTTTAAACAACATTTATTGCAAAAAACGATAAAAAGTGGGATAAAAATAGTTAAGCGCGGGAAACTTTCAGCTTCATCTGGATTTCTTCAATAATTGGATCTATTCTTTTAGAAGCTCCTCTGAAAGCATCAACATCAGGTCCAAGCATCTTCATGAGTGCAGGAATCTGAAGGAAGAAAAAAAATCAATACATTTGTACTAATTCAAACGCGAATACATTGAAAACCTTCAATCTTCAGTATTTTATCGTAATAATGTGGAGTAGCTCAGGGATTAGTTCCAAGTATATTTATTGATTGTTCAATAAATAAAATCTAATATAGATTTTTCCGACTTTTATTTTGAACAACTCAGTATTTTGTCTGTCCTTGTCACGGAACGCTATTTTATAATATTACTCTAGAATTGTTTGCGCTAGGGTTTCGAAATTTGGACATCGATTGCGAGGAGCAATTTTAGCTATACCGATCCGAAAAATCGTTTTAAATTTTTAATTATTCCGTTCGGAAGAAATGTTCAAAAAAAATTTTTTTTACGCATTAGTTTACATTAGCCATTGTTAAAAATATAATTGCGAACGATTCTGTTTAAGATTTTATCACACGCGCTTTAATATTTATTTAATCAGTCATCACCGTGAATGACACGTGGATCGCTGCTACGTCACCGAATTTGCAATTCTAAAACTATATGTAACTACGTTTATTTTGTTTTTTGTTTCGTGTTTATAGTTACGCTTTTAAAACGTCTTGGAAAAAAATAAGATGAATTTTTTTAATGACTTAGTGAATCGCAAGACTAAAAAGTATGTAATAAAATAATTAACATTTAAAAAAAATTCTCTAAGGATTTGTACGAAGAAGTAATAAATAAAATATTGTACGTAACTTATGAAAATTGAGTTTTTATATAATCTTGATTAATTTTCCATGTATTATGCTTATTTTATCTGCATTTTATCGTAAAATCGGTTGCAAGAATTTCTTATAATTTTTTTAAAAAAAAGCAGATGAAAAGTCGGTGGATAACTTTTAGGAATGACTTCTGGCATAATGATAGGATTATCACGTCTGAGACTCAAATGTTTCAAGAGACTCATATTTGAGGTCATTTCAAATATGCTAATTAATCAGCGAAGTCGAAATTTTCAGTTGCGAAGTCAGTCACAAAAATCTACTCTCTCTCCGAATAAACATAGCAATTTTTCTGCGGATTCGGATTTTCTGACCTGCAAAATGAAAAAGGGTGGTCCCAATTTGGGAAATAAGGTCCCAATAGTTTGATCAGGAGAACGGTCCTAAATTTAGACACATTAATGATAATTTTACTTTTTGCGTACATCACTATATCTCAAGAGCTTTTTAAGCGATTTGAAAATTTTTGATAACAATTATAAAATTTATTTATGCCCAAAAAATTCACGCAAAAAATAATTTTTTACAGTTAATTATTACTATTTATTACTTCAGTTGAAAAAATGTTTAACTTGTAAGGTATAAAGTTTTCAACATCATTTTAAGAAGGAAAATTTTATATGGCAAAATACAAAACTCGAGTACAATCGATTGAATAGTTTCTTAGTTTTGAAATTTAAAAAAATCATTTTTTAAGATTTATTCATCCGATTTTATTCAAATTTTGTATCCGATTTACAATACAAATATTTGTCGACTATTATGAAATAAAACGATCATATAGTAAAAAATTTTTAAAAACTATTTTTTGAAATTTTTTTTTGCATCTTAATTAGGGCTCGCTTGCCAGCGAGTTCTAATTAAGAGGCCAGATTTAAAAACGTGCATATTTTTACACGTAGATTACGCACAGAAGTTTGAATATATGTCCTCCGACCATTTTCTTCTACAAAAAAAAAATGACGCTATTTTCAGAAATGACTAAATTTTCCCGTGTTCCTTCGTGTTTTTAAATATTTCATGGCTTTATTTAGGTCTATCCTAGTAAAAACAAATCTTTATCGTTGCTTTCACGTAAAAACCACATAATTTAGCTATCATATCAAAGGTTTAAACTTATAGATAAGGCATTATTTTCTCCGAATGAAATAAAAAGAAAATATAAAATTTTAGAAAGAAAAATTTAAAGAAGTAATAGTAATTATTTAAGCTATCTTTAAGAATATGAAAATATTAATCAATAAAAAGCCACGTTTAAGAATAGAAATTCAGTATTTCTTCATTGAAATTTGCGGTCACAATAGAGTAGCAATCACAAAGATGGCGGCATGTCGGGGCTTTAATTTGAGTTAGAAAACCCACTAAACATTGAATTATTACTGAAATTAAAATAAAATTCCTAAGCTAACTTACCTCATTATAACTAATGAACATGAACCTCAACAATGCTGTGAGACTTTGGAAAACTAGAAGAAAGATATATTGTTATTATCTTATTTATTATAATATGTAGAATATTTTTGTATTTTTTATTAACGCTTGTTTCTTGTTCTAATCAAAAACTTAAAATTTGGTATACTGTAGGTTGAGTCATTGACTTTGTTCGAGTCAATGGTCATTTGAACCTGGTCTGACTTGGTCAGATTTTGGAGGATTAGTTACCACAACAACAGGGATGGCGGACAAATTTGTTAAATTTATTTTGACATTTCTTTTCCTTTTTACTAACCTTTATGGTAACTTATTGATTATTCATACATGGTTATAAATTTATGTGATAATAATTTTCTAATTGGTAAAGATATATTGTACTTAAAACGTAAAGAATGCCATATATTGTATAAATATCTTCGTGTGTGGATTCTATAAATTCCTACAATGAATTTTCGTTAATTTATGTAAATTTTGAAAAATATTAATAACAAGAAAATTTAATGTTCAATGAGGGAAAAAAATTGTATATTTATATCTTTTATGAAATGTCATGTCGACAAAATATTATTACATTTTCATTAAAAATTCTTTCTTTTTTTCAATAATTTTGCGATTCTTTTTTTTATGCAGGGTGTTCTGATTAAAAATATCAAAACATGTTAGATGACCGGAAAAAACTAAGAGGAGGGGAAAGGTGACAATTAGAAATAATTTCAAGTTTCATCAAGCAATCAAACTGGTTGTAGTAATTTATTGGTATAGTTCTGAGGACAGTTTTTTTTTCATGTTTTCAAAGGAAAATAAAAATCTATAATAAAGTGCAATGATTGCGGAATACACTGTGTGAGTATTATTATTTAATAAATATATTAATATGCTAATTGTCTTTTTTATGAATTATATTCAATTATGATTAGTTATTATAATCATTACAGGATGAACGTTATTTTATGCAACTATGATAAACCGAAGCATATTTCTTTGTATGGAACTAAATAAAACATGCAAATTAATATATATATATATATATATATATATATATACATACACTGAAGAGCCAAAAAAACTGGTATATCTGCCTAATATCGTGTAGGGTACCCGCGAGTACGCAGAAGCGCCGCAACACGACGTGGCATGGATTCGATCAATGTGTGAAGTAGTGCTAGAGATAATTGACACCATGAATCCTGCAGGGCTGTCCATAAGTGGGAGTAAGAGGGGGTGGGGATGTCTTCTGAACATCACGTTGGAAGGCATCCCAAATATGTTCAATAAAGAACATATCAGAAATTCGTTCGTTCAGAACGTTTCAGAAATTATTATTATTTTTAATTTTTGTAATTTCACAAATTAAAGTCAACTTACTTGATGAAGCGAAAATTTAATACACTTTTTACTGTTTTACATATGGGGTCTTTTTTTTTAAAATCACTTTATTATCAAAAAGATTGAAGATCGAAATGAATTACTTTTGAAATGTACAAATATATAAATATTAGGCATAACTGCCATGGAGATCCAGACATTTGGCAATTGTATTCGTTTTTTTACCCTACGATTTGATAGAGTTTTCAAAGCTCAATGTTCATTAAAAAGGCTTATGTGTGATAACTGAAGATATTATTACTTAAGAGATTATTACTTAAGAGAGATTATTAATTATTGAAAGGGAAATAATTTACACTCATGTTTGTGTAAAATGCAACACCATCAAGGAAAATGCAAAACGAACAGAACTTACGCGAAACGTAAAGTCAGGTAAGACATGCAAATTATTAGAATTACAAAACGATTGCGCGTGTGTGGAACGAGAACTGTTCTATGCTCCTCGTATTCCAGTTGAAATCAGTTATCGTCTTCTGTCTGCATGGACACAGGAGGAGCATACATGGCGAAAACCAGACAGTGAGGCACACCGTAGGGATGGACAATACAGCAGCATCTCCTGTGTTAGCACAACGTTTGAGAACAGCTACTTGTGTTTTGTTGTCTAGGTCTACGGTTCGTTGCCGTCTAATGCAGCATCAACTGTGTGTAAGGGTTCCTCTACGCAGGATTCCTATGGGGATGAATCACAGACACCTCCGATTTCAATGATCTCAGCATGCATGACGTACCCTGCAGCAGTTCTTTGATTAAATCTCGCTACCATCTGGATTTTATTCTATAACCGTCGTTGAACAGCGGACCAAATTTTCAGTTTACGACTGCCAATGTTCAACTCCGTAGCCTTGTAATTTTGAGCCCAATCCAGAAGACAAGGGAATTCCTGGATCAAGTGTTAAGAGAAATTTGCCTTCGTGGAGGACTTTTTGATGGAACTAATCAGCATTTGCTTTACATGTAGAGGTAAAAGCACGAAAACCTCCCATGGTTAGCCTGATGGCAAGGGGACTGTAACCAATGATCCGTCTACCACTGAGGATATTTTACGTCAGCACTGTGGTCGAATTCGAATCAATCAGCCATTGCCGGGATTCGAACCCTGTTCAGCTCATTGGGAGGCGAGCGCTTTATCCTCTGAGCCACCACGGCTCTACCATCTGGATTGAAATGATCGAAGAAGTTGCAGATGTTACAGAGGGGGCATCTACTCCAATAATGTATTTGCTGATTGAATCATGCTTTGGGAAGCTATTTTGTGCAATTGTGGATCTCATTAAGTACAAATTGTGGACAACTTTGATAGTGGACGTAAGGGAAATTGTCTAACCAGATGTCTTCCCCATTATTCGATGCATGACGTGTGTTATACTTTAAGCAAAATGATGCCCATGCGTACGTTTCCAAGACTGCATGCAGCCATCTTTGGTGCCTTACTAGTTTTAGCTTTTTCCATTGCCTGGTGGTTCTCCGGTAGTGCATTTCATCGGTCAACGACTCGCTGCTCGTACAGCTGATGGGGTACACAGTAAGACAGAGCTTTTTCGTCAAGTCATATGCAATGTCTTTTCCCAGGATTATATTCACAGCCTGTATGCCTTAACATAGCAGATATATAATATATTGATTTCCGACATTCTTTTTTTTAATCTTGCACATTTGATCTTTTTTTGTGCCACTGTCGGCATTATGTGGAATAAATTTCCCCAATTCCTGACAAATCCTTTATACTGTTGCAATCTTCATAAACATTAGTGTATTTTGTTTAATTATGGTAGTAAGTTGGTTATTGTTCTATACATATGCTCATTAATAAATTTACGTACGTAGTTCCTCAGGCACTTGTTCTTGGAGAAACTGGAGAACAGCCATGGCTAGTTCTGTAGCAATATCATCGAAAAGCTGAAAAAGAAAACAGACAAAAATTATGCAAACAAAATTATAAAACAGAGGCTTAGCATTTTTAATTTACGAATTTAGAGAACATTTTTAATTATTTTTGCTCCATAAATTTTATGACAGTCCATTTTTAAGATTTCGTACAAATTCAACTGCAATCGGATTAAAATTTCCACCAAGAGCTCTGATGGTAGTGATGGTTTTATCTGGACGAATAAAAATTCTTTATCTCCAGATAAAAAACAATCCCAAGTCAAAATTTTTGATGGTTTTTTATTGATGGACCAACATAATCTTGATGGTAACCCTCAATAATTCCATCATGAACCATTATATTTTTGATGGTAACCAACATAGGTAACTATCACTTCAATGTAGGAATTCGGACTGATTTATGATGGTTCAATATTAGAATAGCAATTTGTTTTGATGGTTTGTTCATGGTGAACCATGGGAAATTTCCATCATAGTTTCTTAGAAATCAAATTTTAGAATGATCATGAACCACCATCACCCCAATTTAGGAATTCACACTAATTCTTGGTGGGCCAACATAAAAAAAATTGTTTTGATGGCCTATTCCTGTTAAACCAACAATAATTATTATTAAATCATCATGAAAATGCACTGTTGGAACCATAATGGATCATCAAGATCATAGATCATCACGGATTGTTGGTCCATGAGAATCAGACTTCTCTTGATGGTTAACCATCATAGCATTAAAGTATCATTTTCCATCATGGAATGATGGAAGTTTGTTGGCATATCAAAAACCATAAACGCAGAATGGAAAATGTTGGATGATGGTGACCATCAAATGATGTTGGAACATCATAAATCACATTGAAACCAACATAAACCATCAAGATATTTTGATGTTATCATCAAGAATTTTGACTTATGATTATATAAGAATGAAATACATTAAGTATATTACTTGACTTAATGTGCCCCTTAACTAATTCAGGTTGTTTAATCAGTTTATGCTATACTTCAGGAATAGTACTCTCAAAACTTCCTTTATAATGAGTTTTCTATGAATTAATTGTATGTTACATTGCAGGAAGTGACTGTCTAACAAAAATTTTATGTAAAAAATTGAGAAAAAATATTTGAACTTCTTTTAGAAACAGTTTTCGATAATTTTTTATTTATTTAATTATTTATTCACAAAGTGAATGCATTAGCTTTCTATCTAATTTCTGCTAACTTTAATTTATAAAAAGTAGACACTATATTAGAGTTTAGACTTTTAATTATAAAGTAAGTTTTATTTGTATAAGATAGTATTTATGGTTATTCTTGGGGGGGGGGCATAAGTTTTGTTCGTATGAGAAACAAACAGCAGAAAATGTCACTTGCTTCTTTTTTCAGTGCTAGATTATAGACAAGAGCACATCCCCTTTCTCTAGTTTCTGGTTTTTCTGCCAGTAGTCCATGGACGGCAACTCTGACGGTCACGCGGCTGTTGTTGCAAGGTTTTCCTTCTTCATCCCATTCAGATATGTACGTCAGCCAATCATAACTGCTGGGATTGGAACACAGATTGCACAACTGCAATAAACATAATGGGAAGATAAATTAAAGGCAAAAACTGAGTACAGTAGAAACAATTACTTAAATGTTTGACTGAAATATGCCAATCAAATTATTTAAGATGCTACTTTAGCACATTTAATACATTTTATAACCAATAATAACTGATATTATTCCAATAACTACTCTAAACTTATTATTCATGTTCCCTAGCGTATGAAAAATGAAGTGATTAGTACCTACCCAATGGTGGATGCAAAATAATATTTAAGATAGAAGAAACTAAGAGCATTGTTAAACTTTGAAGAATCAGTATCGGGGTTAATCACAACAAAATTTAAATTAAAAACTCCAAACCACAGGACCCCAATCTTTTCTGGCTTACCACCCATTTTGCTAGATAAAAATTTTTCAACGTCCTCTTTAAAAAATATATAACATTTATTAAACAATTAAAAAATAACCTTTTTAAATTCTTTACTATTTTCGATATGATAGATTTTTAACCACATTTGTTAAAAATTTCTGCTGACCGATAAATTTATATTTGAACTTCTTTTTTTTAGCATTTTTTTCTTTAAAAATAGTCGTCACGTAAATGCTTGAAAATATATTCACTTATGTATCACCTTTCAATTACATATAAAATTTAATAATATTAATTTAAATATTTTATGACTTGTAAAATTTGAAATTATAAATTAAAATATTAAACTGCGCGTACATACTTATAAGATTTTGGATAAAATAATGAATATAATAGGGTTGAACTGCAGTGTGTTAGATGTTTATTGGTGCATACAGTACAAGATCATACGTATTTTCGAATCAATCACAACAGTTATAATTTACAAGCAAACTATAAGAAACTCGAAGTTTATAGAAAAAATATTTACGAAGAAAGTTTGCATATCTTATAGTAATCTTTTTCTCAATAAATTGATAAATTAAAAACATGTAATGTACGCAGAGTTAAATATGTATTGGTTTTTCGATCAAAAGTAATAAAAAAATTGATAAAGAAAATGAAGGAAATTTAGAGAAAGCAATTAAATGTTACCATATTTAAATCATAACATTTATATCATTTATATTTATATTTATCACTTATATTTATATTATTTATATTTATATCATTTATATTTATATCACTCGCCTTACGGTGAGCATCATTATTTAATAAAAAATGATGCCTTGAATTTCACGAAACTTTCTTCATTTTTGACAAAACCGTTTCCTGGTATATGCTCCGAGTGAAAATCTCGTCAAAGTGACGAAGTAACTATCGTCTCTTCAAGGAAACAAATTTCGTCAAAATTAAAAAAATGTTTCGTCATTCTATTTTTTCCAAAAAAAAAACCCCCTTATAGCTCCTAACTTTTCTAATAATCACTTTATCGTAGATACCATATAGGTGGATAAATGTAGCCCAAACAACCTATGGAGGAAAGATAGTTGTTGTAGTTCATTTACGTCGCACTAGAGCTGCACAATGGGCTAATGGCGACGGTCTGGGAAACATCCCTGAGGATGATCCGAAGACATGCCATCACAATTTTGATCTTCTGCAGAGGGGATGGCACCCCCGATTCGGTAGCCCGACGACCTGCACACGAAGTCGCGCACTTTACGGTAGAACAGTTTAACGAGGACCAATATCGCACACCCTCGGTCCATATGCAGGCTGATCCAAGTGGTCACCCACCCGCACACTGACCGTAGCCAGTGATGCTTGACTTCAGTGATCTGCTGGGAACCGTGTCTTAACGATCAGTCCACTGCGGGACGGAGGAAAGATAGAACAAAGAGATAAATTATACACATTCCCAAAGCGGAATACGAACCCGAGATTTTCCGTGAACAAGGTCAACTCCTTGACCACTTTCCAGAAACCGGTTGAAAATCTTCGTCACTTATTTTCGATCATCTAGTCTTTCTTCCAGTTTTTAAATTCTAGTTAACAATCTCCCACAATGCACTGCGATGAGGTTTTGAGTTGAGGAAACAGTTTCGTCATATATTTGAGAGTTTACCTTTTGTCACAAATAATGTGATTTTGTGACGAAATAATTCTCAAAATTAACGAAATACTACTCAAGGCTTACTGAATCACCAAAAGTGAGAATTTTATTTGTAAAATGTAGTAAATTAGTTTTAATATTAAAATTTAAGGGAGTCTAATCTGAGAAAGTTGATCGAATTTAAATTTATGTCTCAATAAAAGGCTAAAAATATTTTATCCATTGCATTACAACACTAAAAAGAAAAATTAAGCGAGTTATTTGGATAAAACACTGAAACCTATAAAATATGCGTGTGTTAAGGATGAAAAGTATTTTTCATCTTCTGTTCTAAGATTAAACATACTGAATCTTTTACTTACCAATCCGCAGGTTTCGGTTTGTTCCTCGACGGGTAAAAATTCGACCCTATTAAAATAACTCATGAGATAATGTTTTTCTCTGTCTTGGTGCAATAGAAGAATGACATCTTCCTTCAATGATGCTGCCTGCATTACTTTTAAACATAAAATTGGAACGTCAGGTGGAAGAGTTCGGTCATTCAGAAGCCTACCTAGAATAAAGATAGATTTATGACTTATATGTCCTATTTTTAAAACATCCAGGGTCATTGTTTGATCAACTAATAAGATTGGGGGACACCAGACTGATACTTACATAAAATTCCCAAAATTGGCCCAATTTTCCGCAGCTAATGTCGTCGCGTTTTCGTTGTCATTTAGTTACAGGTTTTCATTTTTTAAAGAGTCATGATAATGTAACGACTGTTACAGCTTTATACAAACTAAAACACATAAGACCACGTTCCTATTTTGTTTTAACAGCAAAACGTAACGTTCAAATGCAATGAAAGTCTTGTTTAAAAAAATATTGTTAAGTGAAGCTGAACATTTAGGCCCTGGTGATGTTTTATTTTTTTCTCCCTACTTTTTTTTAGACTTTATATGTTTGGGGGAATTCCGTAGCATAGTCGTGCTATTGATAGGGTGTGAAAATAAGGGATTGAAATGAAACTTATTTCTCTTTTTTTAGACGCAATAAATTTTATGAACTTATATTATTCTTATATTTTAGATCTTAATGCATATCCTTAAAATTCCCGATTTACTATCACTGGAATACATATTGAAATTTACGCTCCCCTGATATATAACAAATTAAAAGAATTATTTATTATAATGTATTTTAATATAAGTAATTAATGTGATGAAAAAATCAAGAAATTTGGAATAGAATATCAAAATAGACGAATAGAATTAGCAGCGGAATCGAATAAGAAACAGACAGAACGGACGGCAAATGGACCGAAACAAACTCACTAAAATATCATCAAAAGGTGATTGAAATTATGAGCGAAAAAACTTGTTTTCTACTAGTACTGACACTAGTTGCAGTAGTGACGCAATTACAGTTACATTTTTAAACAGTTTACCTAAATTTAGAATCAACAATTTTTTCATGTAAAAAAGAAAATACTACAAAGAATACTACAAATTAGTATGTTAAAATATAAGAAAAAATACATTAATATTTTGCAAGTGATTACTAAATTAATAAACTTTTTTTCTTCAAATAATTAATATGTATACAGAAATAACGTAACACTTAAGGCAACTATTGCAAGAAGTCTTTCGAAAATTTGAATATGTGTATAGTTTGTCTAAAATAAGAACTCCCCCAGACATTCGTCTGGACCTGCGGCGGTGACTATGGTAACGAGGTATGACTATTTTAAGTAGGGATGCGGGGTCACTGTTTTGGAGTGGTTTCGGCTCGAGTCGGTAAGAGAAAGGGAATCTTTCTTCGGTCTCTTGTGTTTGTCTTAGAGTGAAGCTACCCTCCATAAAATACGTCATTTTTGTTTCCATAGTACCAGACAGCCTCAGACTTTGTGGCGGGAGGAGTTCTTAGCTTAGACAAACTGTAACTATGTTTTTATTTACCTATTGCTTCTAGATGTGTTGTTCCCAGTGCCCAAGCTCCTCCTTCTGTTGTTAAATACTCCATTATTTCATGGAAATCTTTCACTTCCTGTGGATTAAGCTTACCATCCATAATTTCTAAAAGTCTTTTAAGCAAACCAGGACCCTGTAAGTTTAAAACAAATAGTGAAATTACATAAAATGAATTGAAATTGTTTGAAAGGTTTCACAAAACTCGCAAAAAAAAAAAAAAAAATTTACCAAAAAAGAAAAAAAAAAAAAACGCTCGCAAAATTATATTGAAAGCGGTTTTTAGTTAGTACCAAAATTTGAAATTTGTAATTATTCCGTTCAGTAGGTACCGGTTCACCATAAATTTTGATTTTCAAAATTATAGTTTTTATTACCATAAATTTAGTAAAAAATACAAAACTGGAAAGTAAATTTAATCCAATAAATGTTTTTAGGTATCATGAAAAAATTGCCTAATTTTATTTCAATTAAAAAATTTTATCACATATTAACAAACCATATTTTATTACTTCAGTTTTGATCATATTTTTTTCAGTGTGTCAAAAGAAATTGAGAAAACTCAAGGTTCTTCAATATCTTCTTCCCATTTTTTTTTCTTTTTAAATTTTTTTTATGCATAATCAATTTATTTCCTGTTTCAATTTTAATGTAAAAATCAATTTAACAAGTATTAGACATTCATAAAAATTTTAATTTAGGAAAATAGTAAAATTTTTGAGTATTTTCTTACTTTTAACAATTAAAAACATTTATTTTTTAAAACAACGAATCGAGTTTGTTACAACTATTATTGTTTTGCTACCAGTATTTTTTTTTCATTAAAAGTAGCTTCACTATAATATTAAAGGCATTTTGATTGTTTCAGCAAAGCATAGCTGCATTTAAATTACTTTAGTATCTCCTTTCACTAGCATGAAGCTACTATTTATTTATGGGCCAAGAGACTTTCAAACAAAACAGTTATGAAAATTAGAAGTTAATGTTAGAACTAATTTTATATTAGTGGTTTTTTGATAAAATTAATTTTGATTTATTTCTTTAGACAAAAACAATGTATTTTCACTTTAAAATAAGAATGTACGTAGCAAAAATTCTACTATTACAAAATTTTTTGGTTCTAAGAAAATGACAATAATGGTCTCGTATTAATAACATTTAAAAAAAGAAGCGGTGCATTTTTACGAAATGAGAGGTAAATATATTTCCCTAAATATTGAAGGCGAATTAAAATTTTTATGAATTAAGATGATAGAAGATATCAACGTTGTTATTTGTTTGCTAACTATAAAAAATTATTAAACGTTAAGCTAAATACAAGATATTATTAAAAACTGAAATAAACGTGCTAAATGAAATGAATTGATTTCATATTAAATATTATTCAATTCATTTATTTTTTTCTTATAACATTAAAACTAAAAAAAGATTCTAAGAAACAAATATGAAGTTGGAATACTTTAGGATTCAAATTATGTTCAATTCTTAAATAAGTAAAGAAAATTTCGAAAAAAAAAAAAACTGCAAATGTACATAGGAACATGTTTAAACTAATATGGAATGTTCAGTTGCTTTACTGAAACATGGTCTAATGGCGTAAACAAAAATATTCAAATCAATATGAGTTGTCCATTTGCAGTATTATCGTAAAACATATTTGACGCTATTTTATAACCGCCATTGCAGAGTCGATGGGGTTTACGACTACTAATGTTCAACTCTGTAGCCTTGTAATTTCAATAACAATCCAGAAAACAAAGGAACTCCTGGATCAAGTATTGGGAGAAATTTACCTTCGCGGAGAACTTTTTGATGGAACTAACCCGTATTTGGATTACAAGGAGAGGAAAAACCACGAAAACCTTCCACGGTTAGCCTGAAGGAAAGAGGACTCTAACCCATGATCTGTCTACCGGTGAGGATATTTTTTCATCAGCTCTGTGGTCGGTGCGAGCCGGGTGTGGAATTCGCATCCACTAGCCATCGCTGTGATTAGAACCTGGTTCACCTCATTAGGAGGCGAATGATCTATCACCTGAGCCACCATGGTTCCATAAAACATATTGTCAATTGACGCATCCAGAACATATTCAAGTAAATATGAGTTCAGTTTCAAACTCAAACAATAAAGATATTTTTACTCTTGCAATAAACTATGGAAATTTACATGAAATGAAAACAACTTCTCTAAAAGATGCCATTTTTCTCTTCTGTGGAATGAAAACTTAGAATAAGTAGTAGTTTTTACTGTGACTAAGGGATTTTGCAACTTACTAAAGGGTTTACTAAGGGATTTTGCAACTTATTAAGCGATTTTGCAACTTACTAAGGGATTTAGAAACTTACTAAAGGATTTACTAAGAGATTTTTTAACTTAGTACTTACATCTACATCAGGAAATGTTATTGGGGGATCTTCGTATCTTCGGCTTCTTCTAGGATTGAAAGCAGATACGGCTCCATCCTCCTCCTCATCATCCAATCTCCTTGCTGCAGACTCATTCGAAGCTGCATCGTTTGCCTACGGGTACAGTTATAACCTTGTCTTACTGACATTTCATATAACTGAGCACTGCTTTGCTACATTAATGATTGAAATTTTACAGTGTGTAGTAAACTCCATATAGACTAGACATTTTTTATAAATTAAAGAATTGTCCATAACAGGATAAAATATTTTCAAAGTCATTTTTAGAGGCTATTAATTTATTGTATTATTAAATTGATTATAAGATTTTAAAATGCAAACAATGTAAGTTCGTTTTTGTAAATAAGTTGCACTTATTCAAAGCATCTGCTGTAACTTACAATCAGTACTAGTTTTAGTTTTACTAAGAAAAAAAGAATGAATAGCATATGCATTGAGTTAAAATGAAATTTGGGGGAACTATATAACTTTCTTCATTGTTTCGTTTATTATTTACAATCAGATAGTAATTGAATTTTTAAAAAAATAGTTATTATGGCACATATTTTTGTTTTAATTATATTTTCTTTTCTTTGTTCTAAATTAATAATGTGAAATTTATTATTTCAAATCAAAATATCTTTAAAAAAATTAGTTTTAAATTTTTTAAAAAATTTTTTTAACTTTTAAGATTTAGGATTTCAAAACATTTCTTTCTCGGGTTCGGCATGACAAAAAGAAGAATATTTCTCTATATCTTCTAAAGTAAATATTTTAAGATGAATTTATGCTTTTAGATTATGTCCGCACATTTATAAAACTCTGTCAACCTTTTTAACGCCGCTCCAGCAGTACTTCTATTTTTAGTATGTTACCAAAAGTAATAACTATCATAAACTGTACCTGGTTACCACTTTGAGCTTCACTGGTCGCACTACCATTACTCTGTGAGTCATTGGCATTGTTTGGCACTGCTTCAACTGTCTCTGGCTGTTTTGGAACTTCAGTTGGCGTCTGAGCTTGTTGGGAGGGTGATTCTTGCTTCTGTGATTTTTGGGATTTTTGCGATGACCCTTCGGCTGCCTCAGTCTGTTTCCCATTGACCATCGGCTGTTGACCAGAAGTCGATTGATCTTGTTTACTTGAAGACATGGCGTTGGATTTTTTTCTTCGTGCACCGTTATGAGGTTTAGGTTCTGGGTTTGAGTGACCGTTTCTTTGTTCTTCAGCGACTCGGCCAGTTAGACCAAAGCTGATACCTCGAGAGCCTTCAGCTCTCAAGCTTAGCTTGTGAAAGTATTCTTTGAGAGCACTGCTTAAATTCCTTTAAGAGAGGAAAAGAAAAAAAAATAATCTGTATTGCTATATGAGACATGTTTGCATTTAATTTCGAAACAAGGTCACACATAAATATTATTCGAACAATTTTTTTTTGACAGAAAAAATTTATTAAAATGGTAAAAAAATCAACATTACAATATTGATTTTGGAACAAAAAATTCAATTCTTGTTATAAGAAGATTCGTTGATCGTTTCCTCAAAGATTTTTCCCGACGAAATAAACTGAGTTTTGATCTTCTAAGAACAAATTAGTTTTTCTCTTGCTGTTAAGGCGACAGGGGACTTTCAAATGAAGGAAATTTCGTCGAAAAATCGATTTTCTACTTTTTGGTATTTTTGAAATTTAGGCATTTGACTGAACATTTTAAAACAAAAATTTTTTGAATCCAAGAAAAATCGAGAAAGGTATGGCGATGTTTGCTTTGACTACGCAGCTTTGTTTACATTTTCTTATCTGTAGCTAGCTGTATACCCAAATACGTTTTTGTTTGTTCTTGAAAATTAAGTTTACTTTTTGAAATTTTAAAGCATCTGAATATTTAACTAGTTCATAAGCCCTTATTTATAGCTATTTGTGTTTTTTAAAAAAAGAACTATTTGTTCTAAAGTAGAATTCGTGATGAATAACTAGAAAAACCCATTTTTCTCAAAATATCCTTTTTGACAAAGTTACGAATTTCAAACTGTTCCCGCTAAGTAAAAATTATTCTATTGAGCTGAAAATTTCATAGTGTATACTTATGTTATTAACACTTTATTTTAAAAGTTTAAAAAGTTTGTTCTAAAAGTTTTTAAGCTTTGTTTTAAAAGTTTTTAAAATCTAGCTGAAAATTGCTAGTTTTAGTATTAAATTTATATATGATTAATTTATATTTTTTACGATCTAATGATGCTACTCCTTGACTACTTTTTTCCTGTTATTTGTTTCTACAGTAAAAAATAGAAAAGGTGCTCCCAACAACTTTTTTATGTTACCTAATATATAATATTTTGAAAGAATTGTGTCATTTTAACAAACTTGCAGATGCGAGGAATAATATAAAAACAATCTAAATTCTAAATTTCATTTTTTTTAAATTTTAAAATATTTATTTGAAATTTTGTACAAAAGTTGTTTCTAACAATACAAAATTATACTGAAAATTTCAAGTAAATCCCTTGATAATTTCTAAAAAAAACATTTTGAAAGTCGTTTTAATGTGGTGCATTAGGGAGAAGCATTCTCACAAAATTGTGAATTTTTGTTAACGCGAGGGAATTAATAATAAAGCGTTTTAATTTTTTTACATGATAACTCAGTGTAGAAATGTCAATATAATTGCTAGTTTTACAAACGTATTTTAAAAAGTAGGTCATCTCGAGAAAAATTTGCATATGGATCGGACAATCTAAGTAAAAATAATTTTTCTACATAGTTGTCTCAATCCACATGTGTACAAGAAACCATTGAGCTAATCACGAAAAAAAAACTCTATTACAATTATCGTAATGACATTTTTGGTAAGACACACCAAAATCTTGGTTAATAAAACTAAAATGCACGGTGTTCAAACCATTCATTTGGTAATTTTTCCATTCATATGGTAAAGGGTTTACAGGAAATTTTTTTTCTCACAATAATAGCTCGTATTACCTCAAATTTTTTAAAAAAAATACAAGACTGAAAGTAAATTTAACCAAAGCAAATGGTTTTTATGTAATGTCATAAAAACCATTATAAACCATTATAAAAACCATTATCATTATAAAATTACCAAATTTACCAAATTCTATCAATGATATGACACAATATTTTTGTATTCATTTTACTAAAATCATTACCAAAACGCGTCGGTTAAAACAACCGAGTTTTTTCTGTTCCCATAGAGCCAAAAAAACCGGTAAATTTTCCAATAGTTTTGATTATACATTTTTTTTCGCTGTACGCAATCAGGTTTGTCTAATTATTTGTGTGTTTAATTTTGCATTTGTTTATAATGTGGAAAAACTTATTGCAAAACATTGAGAACTGAACACTTTATATCAACTTTGTTAAGTTGGTTTTAAAAAAAATAAACTGTTAGTCCAAAACAGGAAATAATATGAACTGATAAAAATAAAATTTAGATATTTATTTTTAAGAAACTGGCGTTATAAAAAAACAACGCTTACTATTTTAATTCCTATATCAAGTAAAACATCAAATCATAGTTAACATCAAATTATAGTGTATTTCAATTATTCCACACTAGATACAAAGAGAATATTGATCTAAATTCAGATAATTATTTCTCATGCACTCTTAGAATAAATTAACTAAATAACTATTAAGTTAATAACTAAATCACTATAATAATTCAACTAAGTGTTTTTTAAACATCATATTAAATACATTATAGAACAGTATTGTATTTTTTTCTGTTTAATTTCTATGATGCAAAAAGTACTTATGTACCACGAAAAAGTACTAGACTGGCATCAATTTAAATTTTTTTTAACTTTTTTTATAGCTTGATATTTGTTATTTAACCATTTTTTAATTTTACTAAAAATTTTAAATGCATCCTTATTTATAGAATGTTAATTAGTGCAAATAAATTTAAATAACAAATGAAAACACCTAGAAAAAAGTGAAGATGTTATATAGAAATAATATAGTTATAAGAAATATATATAAAGTTATAAGAAAAAGTTATATAAAAATAATATAAGAATTCTATAAGTTTTCTCTACAGTTTTATTTTATCACTTGTAGAAATTAATAAATAAATACATGTTTTTGTCTGAATAATGAAATGAAATTCAATATAAACCAAAAAATGTCAAGGTCATATTTTAAAATATTTTTTTTTATACCAAGATATTTTTAAATAAGCACAAATGGTACTTGGTTCTTCGAGAAAAATTATTTTAACGCCAAAACGAAACTAAAATAAATTATTTTGTTTATTTTGATAATATTATTTTGAAATGAAATAAATAAAAAATAAAATGAGACATAAAAGTGGATTTTTTAATCTTTCAACAAAGGCTTGTTTATTAATGAAATTAATAATAATTATTAGTGAAATTAGATAAAGATTATTAACTGAGTAATGAAAACAAATATATTATAGATCAATAAAGGTGAAGGTTATTATTCTTTTTAGAAATAATTAAAATTAAATTAATTTTTTTAAAAAAAGGAAATAATAAATTAGTAAATTATTGAATTGAAGCATAAATTTGGTAAACATATAAAATATATTGTATGATCTTCATATTTTTATTTTCCATAAAAAATAGACTAATTATTTAATTAACTAGTTAATGAACAAATAAATAGAGAAAATATAAATAATGAGACAAATATAAATAATAAAACAAATATAAATAATAAAATAAATATAAGTAATAAAATAACGAAAAAATGAAATAATAAATTGCTGGTTTAAACCATACTGTAATAACCTTTCATCTTTTCAGTTTCAGTTTATTTACATTCGTTTTTTTTATTTTTCAGTTTATTTGCATCTACTTAAATAAAAAAGCACATCATCAAATAAAAAAAGATCTAACAAAGGATGAACCAGTTCATAACTGTCAAAAATCTATACATTTTAAAAAAGCTAAGAACAATATTTAGATATTTTGGACTTGAAAAATTATCTGAGTTAGCAGCCCAAGAAAACGAAAGCCAAATATGGCAGCAGTTTTTTGGTACTCAAATATTCTTATGTATATGTTCTCACATTAAACATATTCATAAAATATGTAAGATTATTTCATGTCATTACATAAGTCAATTATATAACTCTTTAAAGAAAAAAAACTCTTTTTATATTAATAATTTTGTTATTCGTTGAGGCAATTTTTTGAAAACAAAGAGACTAAATTCAGCCAGACTTACCTTTAAGCGTACAGAGAGTTGTGTGGAGGCGCAGATGGCGCGTCCAAAAGCCGAACCTCACCATTAAGTCCTTAAATAACTTTTCTTCTAAGTTTTCTTACACGGAATAAGCAAAAAAGAAATAACTTCGCCTCAGCGCCAGTCTTCTCATTTAGAATTGTAGAAAAAAGAAGTACAATTGCAAGAGATGAGCACATCCTCCATATGTGCCACGTGGAAAATTTAAAATAAATTTGAACTTTATTAACTGATGCATCCTCCTGGTGATAAACATGTTTTTTTTGTTTCAAACAAATGTTTGACATCTGCATCTGTCACCATTAGCTGATATTCAAAATTTTAGAATTTTTTTTAAGTTCGACAAAAGTAATAAAAATTCTGCTCGCAATGAATGATAAAGCTTTTAAAACTTAAATGCAATTCAAAACAAGTTTAGAATGAAGAATTGGCATAATCTTTTACCGAATTTTCTTTTTAGCTCTACAAAAGTAATAAAAATTTTACAATAAGTGATGTCACATTTAAAACTCAAGCGTATTTCTAAATAAGTTTTGAGTAAAGGATTGGAATTACCTTTTCCAGATATTTTTAGTTATACAAAAGTAACTAAAAGTTTAGAATAAGTGATGTAACTTTTAAAGCTCAGGTGTAATTCAAAAGAAGTTTTGAGTAAAAAGGATTGGAATCACATTTACCAAATATTTTTAGTTATACAAAAGCAACTAAAAGTTTAGAATAAGTGACGTTACTTTTAAAGCTCAGTTGTAATTCAAAAAAAGCTTTGAGCAAAGGATTGGAATCACCTTTTCCAGATATTTTTATTTATACGAAAGTAGCTAAAAGTTTGGAACAAGTAATGTAACTTTTTAAACTCAGGTGTAATTCAAAATAAGTTTTGAGTAAAGGATTGGAATCACCTTTTTCAGATATTTTTAGTTATACAAAAGTAACTAGAAGTTTGCATTAAGTTTACAATAAATGATGTAACTTTTAAAACTCAGGTGTAATTTGAAATAAGTTTGGAGTAAAGAATAGGAATCACCTTTTCCAGACTTTTTTTAGCTAGATCAAAGTAACAAAAAGTCTACAATAAGTGATGAACAGTGAAAAGTTGA